ACCATTGGGTACTGCAAAGAGAAACAATGAGAGCTTGCTGTTATTCACTGCCTATCCCAGAGGCTTCAGAAAGGTGCATTTACATCCAGTCAAAGAACTGATAAGGTTTTAGATGAAATAAATTAAGGACGCGAGTGTTCCATTCATTTACTTATTTTGAGGAAAAAAAAAAAAAAAAAAGAAGTCTGAGGAACACCAAAGACTTTTCCCAAAGTAGACAGAACCGTCCTGCAAAATCATGCAGTTCCAGAGAGACAGAGAGGACCTAGGGAACTTACCTTGCTTTGCGTGAATTCTCTGAACATGGCTGCTAGCCCATCATCATCAACGTCACTGTCAGTTTTAATCGCAACATTAAGAATGTGAATGGGCTCCTCGCGGGCAGTCTGCAATTTAAAGAAAACATTCTCCATAAATTAACTGTTAACAACATAACATCTGTGTATTCTCAAGAGGCCCCCTAAACACACCTCTAAAATACAGGTCCCCTAGGAAAGAAATTGCCTCAGCAGCACCTGCTGTAACCCAAGTAAAATTATGAAGCAAATCCTTGACCAAGCATCCCCATAAACCCATAATTTCACAAAAGAGTTCATGTCCACAAATAGCAAACAGGTACTTCATTCTGACAATCGGATTCTGATGATCACACTTGACTAGGCTAACTTAAGTGGGCTTCAAATAGATTTTAGGTGCAAGAGGAATGCAGGGACACATCCTCTCTTTATAGGATGCAGTACAGGAGGGCAAAAAAAGAGGACTTTGGCATTAAAAAGGGTAATGAAATTTAGTAAATTCAAAGTATTAGGAACAAAACAAGTGTTTTCATATCTACAAGAAAATGAAACAACGTGGAAATGTTAATTACATAACAGCTCTAAGAAATGACAAAGAAAGCATTTAAGAACTTGCAGTTAACTCTGATAAACTGAGTCTGAACAGGAAATTATCCTTGGTGAGGGGGAAGTAAAGAGGGGAATTAGAGGACATCAAGGTTGACGGTAATATTTTGGGACAAGGCTACAGTACGTAAACGCATCAAGATCAATGGATCAGTTGAAAACCAAGCCCTATTCTGAATCCACACTATGTCCAAACAGAGCTTCTAGCTGTTGAGAGGCAGGACAGAGCAGTGGAGCAGCTACCTGTCTCTAAGGGCAGCAGCTCTTCTATCCCTAAGCATTATAAACTAGCTGCTCCTCTGCACCTGCTATCCATGTCACTGTAAAAAATGTAGGGGTTCCTCTCACCTTTTCTTCCTAAAAGCAGTTCTAAGAGGCAGAAGAGAGGGAAGAATCAGGATGTAAGCTGACAAGGAAGGATGTAAGACAGAATATATGGCAAGTAAAGGCTGTTAAACATGTACTACAACATCCCTATGCACAGAGAAGGCCTAGAAACCAAACCATGGGTCCAAACTCTCAGTTACACTGCTGTGGATCCAGTAATTCTACCAACATTAAAAATTACAATACAAATTTACAGGGAGAGTAAAAGACCTGGCCATAGTTTCTGAATACGGAAACGGTCACCTACTTTGAGTTGCCTGCTGCAAAACAAACAAACCATATAAATAAATAGATAAAGCTCTTAACTCCTGCTTCCAGCACTCAAACCAGTGAAAAGTATCTAGCCTGCAGTCATTGTGGCATTTTGCATGCCTTCTATGTTCAACCCAAGAGCAATCTCAAGAGGGGAAAAAAAAAAAAAAAAATTACCGTACCTTTTCTTCATCATACAAGGAAGCATGACCAGCTTCAGGGAAGGTTGGACTCTGGGGAGGAGAGTCACAGAAGCAACTCATCACTTCATCAAAGATTCTGAAATACACCAGAGAAGTCATAAATATGCTGCTGCAAACCCACCAAAAGCAAATAGCACTAAAGTCCACAAATCACCTTGCTAATGGGGGCAGGGGAGAACAGGACTCCTTCCCTTTGCAGGACTGTAACTCAAAAGACAGGGAGGCAATACCTCCCCAACCCCAAATAGAACCTGGATCTTCCAACACAAGTCAGAGACCTTATAGTTGCAGGCCCTCATGACTGCCATGGGCGCTGCTCTCTTTTGCCTATACCAAGAAGTTTGAAAGCATAAAGAACACATCCTTCCACGTACATACACGCATGTATAAGAACATTAGAAGGAATCAGCACATTTTGCTAATGATCTCCAAAGCAGCAGAAATTCAAGATGCTGATCCTTCAGGTTGCAAGCAAACTGCTCTTACAACATTTTGAAACTTCCAGTTATCTCAGGCAGACAGAGGAGAAGACCCAAACAACCCTCCACCTGATACCCCAGAAACTTAGCAGACAAACATAGGATCACTTAAACCTGATTCTAGACAAAGGTAAAGATTTTGTCCAGTTCCATTTGGGCCCACCTAGGAAGCTGAGAACGCAAATGACAATAGTTGCCCTTCCCCACATACCTGACAAAATCTTCAAAAGTGCGGAAGGAGACCATTCCGCCCATCCGCTGGCACGGTGGAGTGAACGAATTGTCTAGCAGTACATCACTCACGCTAGCTACATGGACCATCCCATAGTGATTGAGGTTGGAAGAGAAGGACATTCTAAATGGCAATTCAATAAGATCACAGTTAGTAAAGACAAGGCGGAAAAAAAAAATCACTGGAAAAAGATGTGTGTGCGTGTATGACCACTTCAAGTGTGGCTGTTTATCCATTGTAACTGTTGCATGATCTATTAGACTCTTCAGCATGCCAGACCTGTTGTGCTGTCTTCTCCAAAGTCACTGCAATGCAGGCATGTGTGTCTGATACCATTAATATCCTTACCTGGATGTCCTCCCAACATTCAGGAACAGTCATAGGGTTAAAAAACGTTATCACCCTTTAAAAAAAATATTTCTTAAGCAGTCTACTGAGATGACAGGTTAAATTATGACTATGCACAGCTGAAAGCATTGTTACTCCTGTAGGTATGATTTGCTTTACACGTGAATACTGAGATAAACAATTGTACTAAGTTTTGGCACTTCAAGATTTACTAAATCTTGACAAATTTAAGTTAAAGTGTATTGACCCATATTCTCTTAGCACTTCTGCAATCTTTCTGACACTATAACTTATGCCCCTCAAATGCACAGCAGGATACAGTGACCTCTCAACAATTCTATGGGGTTTTCTACAAGCTTCCACTAGAATTGCTACCCTAACCAAAGTCCTAGCCTTCCACTTTAACTGCTGACCAAATTAATGTGCTCTTTCATCTAATTTAATCCAGACTTGGAAAACATTACAAGCCTCCCACACATGTTTTTTATTTTTGTCATTTTTGACTGCTAAAAGGTAGCAGTTGCTACATACAAGCAGTTAGCCACAGAACGCATCTATCTTAAGGCAAAGGACCAAGGAAACAGCGCAGAACTCCAGATCCACCTTTCTCCAGGTGAGACCTCTTACTATGGTTATAATCATGCTTATATGCCTGCTGTTGAAGCAGTGAGATACAGCACTGTAAACATATCCCTCATAAAGGACCAGTTCCTGACTTAAGTGAGGAGGACTGGAACAGATTTAAACAAACAGAGGAAGGCATGATGTAAGAGACTTCTATTTAAAGAAGGAGCACGTTCACTTTAAAGGTCAGCTTTCTTTCCCATGAGGGGGCAAGATCCTGAATATATTAAAGTATCACTAACTTCTCATACAGTTCAAACGCCATGGCAGCATACGCTGGCTGTGAAATAATTTGTGCTGTTTTGGGGGTTGTGTTTTTTTGTAAAGATCCACCATGTTACAGTGAAGACTACAGAGAGAGTTTCTCTCATACTGAACAAAGAGCATACTACAACTACCTAGGCGTCCTTTCTCTAGCTACCAGAATTGAGGAATAATTCTTTCTAATTTCTGAACTACCGACTCATCTTAATTCACTGGAGGACCTACTTCAAAAGCTCCCTGCAACACAGTGAGACTTTCAAGCTTGCTCTGAAGAGACGGAAATGACCGGCTGGCACATAGCAGCACTCGGTGACACGGGAACAGTTTACTGTCGCTTGCTTCATTCCCCCACGGGCTTAGGAAGACACTGGCAAAGCTAAGCTTCTGTCCTCCCCAACTGGTAACACAACAGGAGACACAAGGCAATGGGAAAGAACCAGGGCACTGATTCAGCACAGCACATGCTTAATTTACATCTTGCAAAGTCAAAAAGATGCTCAACTGCTTTACTGGCTCAGGCCCCAGCTGCATAGCAGGCAAATTAAGGGCCCGATAACGCTGTGCATGGCACTCAGCCACCCAGATTCAGGACCAACACCAAACCGTGCATTGCTGACATTGCTTCTTACTAGTTCTTCCGAGATTTCTTTCTTTTCACATACAGAAAATCAGTCTGATATGGTCTTAAGTATACTGCTAATAAGTCTAAAGTATCATCAGTTTGATTAATAGTGCTCTTCACGTTTCACTCACTCTAGGTTTCTGCAATTTATCTCTGATTAAGAGCCATGAGACTTTCAAGCCCATTGTTACTATTTTTCCCTAAATAGGCTTGTAAGCAGTAATAAATAATAGGTATTCAAATTTTGAAATTTTCAGGACATGCCTTGGTGTACATTTCTTACCACTGATACAAAAAATACCACAGAACAATAACTAAACAAAAAGACAGCAGACATTTTTCATATATTATTTAAAACAAGAAATACTTTTGAACTGAGACAAGGGAGGAAAAAATCAGCATCTGAAACACAACAAAACATGCTGTCAGCTGTTTGAGATGTAGATTCATCTATGGGGTGGGGGAGGTAAGACAGCCTCAACAAATTCCGAGCTGGTTGCGGAAAGCCGAGCAGCCCCAGGTATGCTCTCGTCCAGAATCCAACGCCTGGCCCACTGTGACGCCCTATCGAGGGTCAGCAGCTGGGAGTCAAGCTCCAAAAAAAGAGAGACCCAAGAAGTAGTGTTCTGCTATAAGTTCACTGTATATCATACAACAGATGAACTAACGCACCTGGCAAATTTAAGTTTAAAGCTTGCCACATGCAAAGCTGCTTTTCAAGGGTAAAGAAGAGCTGAAAACATGTTTTAGACAAAGGCAGAAGGGAGAGGGAGGAAGAGTTATGGTTGAAAGCTTCTCAAGTAAAGATAAGGGTACTAAAACAAAACATGTTAAAACAGTAAGTATTAGGCTACTTCTTTCTAGTCTTTCTTTTCAAATTTTAAAAGATGACAAGTACCATACCTGTTTAGCGTGGGGATGTTCCCTCTGTAATCAAACAATCACAGTTAGTTACAGATTGGTTAGTGAAAGCTATAATAAAGAACTATTATCATGCTGATACACAGACCAGCAACAAATTTACAAATTACTGAACAAAATTTGTCAACCATCAAGAAAGAGGCAGAATTCAATTCCATTGACCCTGAAAAGGCACCCACCACCTGACTTCGCTTGCCATGGCTGCTGTGGGAATGAGCGCAGATCATGCACATAACATGCAAATATATCACAGGAAGACATGTAGTATTTGCAAGGTACCCTGCATTTCTACAGCATCTCTTTATCATATCACCTTCAAGCCCTTTGCAGACACCAAGCAAGCTTTACAAGCAAGACCAGACAGGGAAGTCTGCACCCCCTGTCAGAAGGACGAACTACAGCACAGAAGTAAAAAGTGACCCCGTTACATAGGAAGACTGCATCAGCTCCAGCAAAGGAAACCAAACCCTCATTGCCAAACCTCTACTTTAAGCAGCTGCTCACACAGTGGCTCCCAAAACAGTGCAGAAATAAAGCAAATAAGCACATAAACACCATATAGTACTTCGCATTTTCAGCGATCAAGACCCTGAGCACCAAAAAGAACAAGCAGAACTTGAGGCTAACTTCAGGAAAAGTTTACAGTTCCTTTTGTAACATCAATTCAAAACTCCTCAGTTTTGCATGCAGACCAGGACTTAATGGCGCAGAGAAGACAGAGAGGAGGTCAAGGGCACGTTTGCACACTAGCATAGGAACAGAAAGGTCTAGCCCATGCTAGCTACATTCATTAAAGCAGGAGGTGGAAAATTGCTCCAAAGAGATGCAGGAATTTCTGTGATCTGACATTCAAAATAGTAAACTGAAATACAAAACACATGCACACAGGACGCTTATGTAAACAGATCAGCAAATGAGAGAAAACTGAAAGCAAAGCTTCAGGGAGCATGTATAACTGGACATTCCCCCTCCCCTTCCCTTCGGCAACCTACAGGAGGTCGAGCCACAGACCTCCTTAACGTCCTTAACCATAGGGCAAGACCCAGAGTTAACTGGGTGTTTAGTGACCAGTGTATTTCCATGGTTACAGTGCTAAATACATCGACTGTATCTGGTCCTGCTTGGAGTGGCTTTGCCACAGGTGAGGCGTTATTCCCTGCAAGTTTATGAGCTAGCTGCATTATCGGTAGAGGCATGAGAAGTTCCCAGGATCTCTTCAAGCCATGTAGGAGGAAGCACAAATCAGGCTACCAATATATCTGTTCAACAGTAAAGATTTAATTTCATTTGGTGTCAGTAGGGAGAGACACTGTGCTGCAGAACCTGTTGTTAGGACTGAACAGGACACAAGGCCGCAGGGAGCTGACACACTTTCTTTAGCTTGGCAAAAGAGTGGGAAAGCTGCATGCGATCTGCTTCAGTTAGAAAAAAAATGGTCTGGAGAGGACTGGCTGCTCCTCCACCAGGTTCACTTGTTCTGCAGTGGTCCCTGAAAAGCCTCAGAAAACAGAGAAGGAATCGCAGCATAAGACATCGCCCACTCTGTCTCAAAAGGAGCTCCCTGTTGCCTTGCTCCAGGAAATGTTTTCAAGCCGCTCAGTGTGGAGCTGAAGAGGTCATGGCGAGAACCTCAGCCAGGAAAACAGAAGACCCAGTGACTGGTGATTGCAGAGAAGAACAGAGCAAGAACAGTCTCCAGGTTGCAGGGTTGGCTCTGTATCTACAGGCCACGAGAGCTGGGGAGGATTTTTCCACACCAGGGGCTGGATTGTCACCTGTCACTGAAACACACTAAGAGGGAAAGGTTTGATGCTTTCAGCACAACCAGGCCTTGTGAAAAGGCGTTACAAGCCACTCACCGAGCAACACCTCTGCAGTTTCCAGGGACTGCAGCAGGTCTAACATCCAGACCACCGGTTACAAACCGGCCTGCTCTGCCTTACGGCAACGTTTGTGAAAGGAGAAGCACCACAATTCTGGGAGCTGAATAAGTTCACAGCTAACGGTGCACACACCGACAGTGTTCTCAACAGCCAGCTCAGGACAGCTGATCCCAGGGTCAGAAGCTCCTTCATCACATCAGCTCCAGTCCTTCTCCCTATCTCTTCTTGAACTTTTAAAAAAAGCCATTCTTCTTCCCAGCTGGGGAAGATGATCTCACCCGGAGTCTGTTCTGTACCTAAGCAGGCAGTGTGGCACGCTCCAGCGTTACGACTACTCCTCCTTTCGCTCAAGCAAACCAACCCCCCTTAGCCCCTTTCTACACCTCCTGGTTGAATCTGAATTTGCTTCCCCCTCCCCTTTTTTTAAGCAGGGGAGCTCCCCTATGAAAACGAAGGCAATGCATGCAAAGCGCCACTGGTTATATCAAGCTGTGATTGAGTGCCAGCACAGGGCAAAGCTTTTGAAATCAGGCAGCAAAGCGGAATCAGCAGAGGTCCGTTGAATAACCCACTTGTAGTTATTAACAGCAGTACCGCAGGAGAAAGAGCAATTCCACTGGCTGTGACCAGTGGCATTCCTCTTATGTTTCTTCATTTCTGCAGAAGAATCTAAACAGAAGGCTGTGAAATATGCCTCAAACCATACATTTTGATTGGGTTTTTTCCCTCTCCCTCTTTCTTTCCTTATTCTTCTGCTCCCCTTGTGATTCAGCCAAGCTGAATCTGCTACTGAAGTCCAATTTGCATAAAATTATCGTTGTTCCATTCAGTTTGCTGCCCCTTCAACAGCCCCTTCTTTGCTCTGTTGGAAGATTCTGCCCTCTCTGAAACAGGCAAGCCAAGGGAGCTGCAACATATTACTGCTGCCTGCTGTCTAATTAACATCAAACCCTCAGCATGAAACTGCAGGGATTTACAGGTGTCCTGGAATCATTTTCCCCTCCTCCCTCCTGATATCAGCCAGTCTCCCGCAATAAGAAGGGGACCTCAGGCTACCTAATGATACACTACAAGTTCTGCACTCAAGTCTCCAGGCTTATATGGCTAGAGTCCAAGCAGCACAACTGATTCAGTACCAGGAATCCAATGACTGATGCAAGAGGCCTTTTCAGCAACTACTCAAGTTCATAGAAAATGCTTCCATTTTGTAAGACATTCAAATCTTATGAATATATCATTGTAAAATGATGAAGCAGCCTACCAGGAAGGAACTCATATGGAGGTATCTATAAACCCTGACTGAAGTGAAAGCAAGTTTTGGCTTCTGATTTTTCCATAAAAAGAACCGTTTGAAAATGGCACCATGTAATTTGGCTTTCAGCCTTCAAAATGTTTTTGATCTCTAAGCAAAGAAAGAGGCTGACAAAAAAGAACAACCACCAAAATACTCCATAGATGATAAAACATCAGGAGACAGCAAAGGGGGGAATCACGCACCACTCTCAAGCCTTGACATCAGCAACAACAAATTCCAGCTAGGGTGTCAACAAACGTTTATAGCCACAGAAAGAGGAGCGATCACGCAAAAAACAAACAAAAGATAACTGAGGTGTTGATATCGAGTCCCTTGGAAATACAAAGCAACTAATGACTAGACCTAAATCCCACTCTCAAAGGCACCAAGGGCAGCAGAATTCAGTCCCAAGACTGAATTCAACCTGGGCACATCTGAGGCATTTGCCTATATGTCCACATTTCTCGAGTCGCATGCACTCCCAACTCTAAATGCAACTAGGGTTAACTGGTACTTGAAAACTTGTTTATCAAATTTCAAAAGCAAGACTTGCTTTATAACTAAGCCAGTTATCAAAACTTCTCTTAAAGTCTTTGGTGGCCTGGAGAGTATCCAGAGGGAAGCTGCAGTGCTAAAACACTCCTTTGCCTCCACCTCCCAGTGATACCTCCTGGTTTGATATTCTTCAAGATGTCTCAAGGCCGAGTGTGTCAGATAGGGGTAGCATGTGGGAGAACGGGAAGGCATGGACTCAAAGCACCGATGGAGCGGGAATGCAGGGGTAAGGCATCAGAGAGTAAGCAAAACAAGAGGCTGGGTTATACTTCAACTTCCTTTGTAGCTTAGCATCCTTGGGATGGATAACAGAGAGCTCTTTGCCTCAGATATCATTGCCATACCCCAAAAATAAAGACATATCCAGTATCTCTAACTCATCCTTGTCAGCAGTTCCCTCAGCATCTGATAGCAGCTTGTTTTGTGGGAACAAGTCTACTCCCAAGTTCTTCCCTCCTCATTCTCTAGCACAGCCATTATCAGGGAAGGAGAGACCAAGAGAGCGGCTGAACAGCCTGGCTGGGGCGATGCCGTGAGTTGGAAAAAACGGGATGCGTTAGTAGGAAAATTGCCACAGCATGATTCGGCAGCGGGCTCCAAAAACAGGCTGCAGCAGACAACGTCCAAGTTTAAATTAAACCTTACAGCTTCACACATAAGAATAGTTATCCAAGGGCACAAGAGAAGGAGAGGGGGAGTTATTAGAAAGATCTTCTGTTGAAAAAGCACTATAACTACCTCTCCTTCAGCCCATACCAGACACAATGTTTCTTTGAACAGACAATCTTAAGCTAAGAAAAGGTAAGCAATGTTTCATGTGCTGTACATCTAAGAAAGGCCTTTCAGTGTCTTTCAGCTGGCTTGCCATCCTCACAAAGGAAGCTGAACTCTCTAAATACCAGTCAATATTCCACCAGCTTCCCATCTCAGCAGGGCAGTCTGAACACGAGGGAAGCAAAGAACATCTCAGAACAGGGCTCATTTCTTTCTCACATCTTCTCCCACCAGGGCTCTAGGTGACAGAAAGAGGCAGGTTACCCAAATGCAACGGGCTGTGCATATACGCATTTGTTTGCTGTACCCTGCTGCAGAATGTAGTGATCAGCATCCTATAGATACGCTTGTATCAATTCCTCCAGATCGGATTACTGCAACGCTCTCTGCTTGGAGAGGCTTGGAGACTTCATTTACTGCAAAAGGCAGCAGATGGTTACACTGCACTCCTCATCTGGTTTCCACTGGGCAGTAAGGAGTGCTCTTTTGATTTGTAAAGCCCTCTGTGGTTTCAAATATAAGAGTTTTTTCTCCCTATACCTTACCCTTGTAATCAAGATCAGTGGGGATTCTTAAGACAGGGTGTTTTCTGCTAATTTAAACAAGTAATTCTCAAAATATTGTTCTGCTCACAAACCCACCAGAAGCAGGTTGCATTTCCATGATTTTGTTATTCAGATTTAATGGTTTTTGTTTCCTCCCTGACTCCATGTAAAGCTTTATTGTGGGCAGTTGATGGAAACCATTCAGTGGCCAAAATACAAAGACTGAGCGCCTAGCTGTGACCAGTCAGACCAGAAGCAGGGCACATCAGGGATAAATAAGAATGACAGAGAATTTAAAGATTCCACAAACACAAAACCCCTATTGGTTTGCAATTTTCTCTACACTGATATTTGCTCCAGTGAAATTCAGGCTCTTAGAAGTTCACAGAAATCAGATACAAAAGGGACAGGACTTCAAAATATCTGATCAAATGCTGAAAACTTTGTGGCATCATACAACCAACACCAACTCGGAAAAAGAACGCTGTCTTAGGACTCTCTGGAATCCCCTTCTGGTTCATCAGAGCCCAAGCGACATTTTGCTTGATCAGCTGGGATACTTAGGCTTTGAGTTGTCCTGGGAATGCATTTTTAGCTTTTCAGTGTAAAAGTTCACGCTGTGTAAGATACAGAAAAACATATGACACACACAGAACATGGCCAAAGACAACAAAGACAACTTAAGTAAGACAATGTCAAAGACAATTTTGAGATTCCAGTGCTCTGTGTCTTGGTCTCAACATAAGGACTGCCTTTACAGATAGCTTAAATCAACATACTCAGCACTAATTTAAGCCTCTAGATTTCCTGTTATCTGCTGTGCTTTAGCATAAGTAGGTGTACACTGCGAGAAGCTGCATTAAGCAACAGGAGCCAAATTCATCACTAACATACGGAGGTGCAACTCAGAGGAATTGAACCTGTCTATGTAAGCAGCGAATTTGTCCCCAAGTCTGCTTGCCTCTGCACAAGGACTGTGATGCATTTTCATTCAACCATCAGCAATGCCAATGGTTGAGAAGCGGAACGGAGTTTCAGAATGTTGCTCCAGCAAATTCAGCGTAATGGGGAAAGGAAATTTCAGGATAAAGCAGCTCTCCTCCAAGCAGGTAACAATTCTCATCTTCCAGCTGACCTTGTCCAATGAAGTTTGGGCACTTTAATAGAGCGGTGGCCAGCATGGGCAGGCCAAATAACCCCCAAGCAACAGAGGTGACTGAAACTAGCAAAGATAGGCAACGGAGAAAGAATGGGGAGATATAGAGCATTATAAAGAGGTACTAAAAATAGTATGCAATTATTTACAAATATTCTAGAGATGCAGGAAACAGATGAGACCAAATGCATGTTCCATTTGTATCATGAGTGCTTTGCGCTGCTTGTTGAGGACAGTCATTTATTTCTAGCAAACCAGATTCTGAAAACCATTTTATAAAACGTACTTACGGATTCTCAATGAAGCGAGACTAGACCCCATTGCTCAGCCCCACCAAAGATAAAAAAAGAAAAAGGATGTTTGGAAACAAAGGAGGGAAATAGCACTGGGACCATACTGCCAATCCAGCACAGATCAACAGTGGCACCCGGTGGCCATGGAGACTCACTGCGCCTCCGGCTCCAGCACACTCTCCACTGCCTGGGACAAAAATAAAATACCTTCCTGAGGTCCTCCAGTGCAAACAAAGAGCCACCGAGACTGACTAACCTGACAGATGCTGAAGAAGTTCTGATAATCAAGAGATTTTTTTTAAATGGCTTTAGCACGCACTAGGAGATGAGACCCTTTGTCTTTAAGGCAAGGCAGTGAATAATTGATGGTTGCAACTTTCGGTTTCAGCAACCATCAAAAATATGTTATGAAAGATACTGACTGAAAGCCAAAAGTATTTCAACTGTCACATTTCTATATCAAATACGTATATACATGCATCTTGGTGTCCCCAATCAAAAAAAAAACAGAAAAACAAAAAAGAAAATCACCAAAGGCTGCCAGTCCTCATCAGGCTATAAAAGATTTCAGCTTCTCCAGTAAAGCCAGTTTTGAACATATAGCAGATCACAAACACTTAAAAAGGACTGGCAGAGGAGTATTGCAGGAAGGAGGAAGAAACTGATTGACTGTTCTTTATTAAAGTTTGTATTAATTGAATATTCTATCTGGAATTGCACCTTTTGGAAGGCTCAGGATTCAGCTAGAGCTGTAATTATAAAAGAAAGACACTAAACAAACTGAACTGAAAATCTGAAAATATATGAAAACTGTAGCGTATTTAAATGAATCCAAACTGTGTAAACTACTCTCCATAGCTCCTGAGGTTTTAAATAACTTAAGAGGAGGAACTGGGTAATGTAGAGTTTTATCTTAACTAACTCGTGCTTTTTTGAGGCAATGGGAATCTCCCTTTTTCCACTAATTCTAGTGCAAGTTTTCTCTGCTGAGATAGGAAGCAGCCCCTCATAAACCTCCAACTCCAAAGGCACCTGAATACATGAGCTGACCTGTTTGGATGGGAGGTAGGTAGCATGAACTGGAACTCCACCACGCAAGTGTTATCCTTCAGCTGGCGATGCTGAACACTGTTTAACTCATAGGCAATGTATGCCCTTCGAACATACACCTGGTTAAAGAGAAACTCAATCAGCCTAGCTGTGTTGAGGAAGCAGAAAGAGAGAAAGACAACAAATGACACACTGGAGAACTCAAAAATATTAAAAACCAAAACAGATGCCTCCAAAATAGCATCCAGATTGAACTCTAACTCAAACAGAAGAATTTAAGTACTGCTATTTGAGAAGGGCCAGTCTGGCAGGATAAAAGCATCACCACAAGGCACAGGGTGGGCTGACCATATTCTGTGATAGTAGCTTCACCCTCAGTCCTTTCAACTGTGCAGATCTGCTTTAAGCAAAGAAGATAATTTTAGCCAGTTCAGCTAATTTCAGCTAATCTGAAATTTTAGCCAGTTACGAACGTTAATGGTGTTAAATGCCAGATTCCAAGTGCTGGTATACAATTCTGCACAACCTATAGCTCTCGTAACCTTGCAGGGTAACAGTGATTAAAGCATAAACAAAAATGAAAGAAGTGAAAAGCTTTTCCTTTCACAGTGGGAATAAACTTACCTCCAAAGCTGCCATTCTTACCACCTGGTTACTGTGGTAGAAGAAGTTGGGTAGCACATCAAAGATGGATGTCTCAGACAAAATGAGTTTCTAGAAGAGAGTGCATAAGGCAGAGTTTTAAAAGAGAACTCCCTGTCCTGTAATCAGGATCAGGCAAAAAAACCAAAACCCCAAAATGAAGTCAAAACAAAAATCTCTGAGAAAACATTCATCACATCAGGTTTTTTATTCTGCTTTCTGACTAGTTCTAATTTCTATGCTCTTCTTTTCCATCAAGGATTAGTACCTTTTCACACTAAATGCTGGATATACATAGCAAAATGAAAGCCCTGGCAACTCTCAGTCCAAGTTCTCTGCCTGTTTACCAGAACAGAAGCCAGCTCTTACTTCCCCAATATTTTAAGTCAGCCTTTACACTGACTAATTTACAATTTAATATACATCACAATTAAGCCTTCAGTTACTAGAATAAAAAAAAAAAAAAAAAAAAGATTGTGACCCTACTCTGATGGCCCTTCATAAGATCACTGTCAGACGAGCAGAGGGCATAACCTGTCCCTATACTGTGACTGCAGTCTGATCCAAACAGGACCACCCACTCACAAAAAAAGCAGAGTCCCAGCCTGCAGACTCTTTTGAGGCTTTTGGTGAAAGCAAGTATTCTTTTTAGAGCAGATGTTCAGACACCCCATTATCAGGTAAAGCACCACAACGTGCTTGAAGGGAAAGCTGCAGCAGAAGACTGCAGTCAAAAGAGGCAAATCTTACCTGAGTTCATTAAGCACAAACTAGCAAAAGATTCAAATTCTGGAGCACTGGAGGTGCATTACTCTTCTGATATCAGTGCAATAATGAAAGCAAAAATGAGGGGGAAGGTAGGAATCAGACCGATACAATTTAAAGCCCCAATGACCTTAGGACTCTGGGTAAGATTTAAGGCAGAAACATTAACCTAAGTGACAAGGAAGCATGGAAACAAGGAAAAGAGTTTGGTAGATACCTGCAGGTTCTCAATGCAGAACTGGTGTCCATACATGTCAATGGCAGACAAGAAGATGGACTCCACCTGGTTGTGACGCAGCTCGTAGGACGGCAAATGGGAAGCAATGAGAACCTGGTAAATAACAAATGCAAGGTGTGTCAGTGAAAGGAGCTATGCTGGGCCATCAGTAAGAGGGTGCAACTCCAAGGCAGCAAGCTCCATCCCAGAAGAGGTAACTGGTTTCCCCTGTGAATTCAGTGGCACCTGGGTGATGCCGCAAACTCCCTCCCCCCAACCAGTCTCATTTGCGTATCTGCTTGGTTTGTGTTACTGCCATCCCCCAAGGAGAAAAGGAGCAACTTCAATCAAGTTCCATCAGCGCATGTGATTTAGCACGGCAGAGCTGCTAGTCCTGGTGACTGCCTGACCAGCTGTTAATTGGAAAGCAGATCTGGCAGGCAACAGCTGTAGGGAAGCCAGCAAGGGAGACAGCCTTTCACAGCTTCTGAGCAAAGCAAGCAAGAGACGCTGGTGCCACGTATGAAATGCCCAACACGAAGGATACAGAGGTAGGAAGGGCAAGCAGCTTGCAAGAGAAAATGAAGTGAAAGAGCAACACAGACACATACACCAGGACTGCAGCACCATCCTCAGCATGCTGCTGAGAGGTTCAATAACTCTGAATGGTTCAAGGACACAGCTACAATCCTGAAGGAAATATAAGGTCACTGAGCAGCTTCAAACACTCCATTCATTTTCAACACTCAGGCACTGAAATAAAAGGAGAGATCCCCAAAGTGTCAGCTTCCCTGCTGAAGACTTTTAGAATGGAGATAGGGACTGCAGGGTGAGATGAGTGATCGGACTTCAGGGTTAGCATTGTTGCGAAACAATTATGCCCTCTCACTCCTTCCCAACTACAGACAAACCACTAAAGAGGAAACTCGCATTGATATCCAGGTGGATGTCTGACATTCAAATTACCATCTCTACTAGACTCTTGGAAATGACAGTATCAAGAGCTTTTTTCCAATTATTTTAGGGTTAAAAGCAAATTAACAAAAGTAACTCAAAAGCCAGAAGAAAGCCCCCAAAAGACCAACATATCATTTGCAATAATTCCTTAGGAATTGCAAAGGAACATCTGGTTCTTCTGCACATTTCCCTCCCTGTTCTCTGCACACACTGATTTGCGATTGCAGGGTAGCTGATGAGCCCTGGCTGGCATCCCCTGGCTGACTACTGTATAGCTACCTGAGCAGTGTAGGCAGCCTGGGCTCGTGCGTGTAGGATTCACAGATTATAAAGCGAGAAGGGACCACAGCGATCACATAGCTTGACTTCCTCTATCACACAAACCATAGACTACCCTCAATTAATTCCTTTTTGAGCCAGACAAAGCTTTTTGGGGGAGCAGGGACAGAGGAATATAATCTTAACTTCAAAACCTACAGTGATTAAAAAGCCACTTCAGCCTTGGTTAAACTGTCACAATGGTTAATCACTGGTTAATCGCCTTCATTGTTAATGGGCTGCTCACAGTATTCTGCTCTTCACATTTGCATAGTAAAAACAAACATCAAGAGAGGCAGACTTTCCAAAATAGCAAGCTCCAAGCTGGAGCAGTCCTGATATTGATCTGATCAGCAATGGCAGTCTGGCTCTAACAGGGATCTGCTTTGATTGCTAAAATTGCTCCCTTACCTGCCGTGCTCGCAGTGCCACTTTAGCATTGGTTGTCTTGCTGAGCTGGGTCAGCTCTGTCAGAATATTCATCAGCTCATCTGTCAAGGTGGGGTCACGGCCACATAGCTGGTCCTAAAAATAAAATAAAATAAAAAAATGGAAACGTTTAAAATAGAAGAAAACCATCTTCCCTTCTCCTGCAAAGAGGTTTAAAGATGAAATATATAAAGATATGCTCTGGGTTAGGTGCTGAATGCCCTCTAGAGGTACCTGTCTAAATTATTCGGTAATTCTGTGTGGTCAAGGGTCCAAGCATGAGGCTTTCAATAATTTTATGCCTGTAAAAAAAGTTTAAAAGCTAGAGAGGAAAGAAGAGATTGGCAATACGAACCTTTTTTTTTCCCCACATCTATAGCACGTGTTTTGGCATCCAAACACATAATGAGAAATACTGACTTGTAAGACATTCTCCCATTACCCAATTTCAGCTTGGTACCAGAAAGTCTTACCTACCAACAACACAAAATTCAAAGAGCACTTAACTATAGCGAAAAGGCTTGCGTAGCATGCAAAGATCAGCAAACTTGCCCTGTGAAAGATGACCAAACAGAATGAATTTAACTGCTGGGAGAATCTCTTAAAGTCTGCTCAAAATAATAAACAGACAAAAAACAACAAAAAAGCCAACTACTAAACAACCATGTTTTGCACATCTTTACATCTTTAGCAACACCAGAAAAACAAGAACCTGTCATTCCTCAAACACTGCTAAGTAAAACTAACTAAAAGCATAGATCATAGAACGTGTTTCCTGCCACAGCACAGGACTGGGCCTCCCTAACGTTTCTTCTGGTCAGAGCGTTCTGGCTCTGACGAAGTTCGCAAACTAGCTTGTCTTACTCTCTAAATTGTCTGGAACAAGCAATAAAACTGAACAGTACAAATATCAGCATTAATGCTGTTTTGAAACTCTTTTGAATTCAGCCATTGAAAAAATGGTAACAGTAGAGAAATCTGTTTTGTTTTCTGAGCAGAGGAGGTATACTCTCATGCACACTTTGAATTAAAGAATAGTTTCAATTCCCATGAATAATCCCACAGCCTTCAACTACTCACAGCGGCTTGTGCGACAGATTCCTCCCACTCCCAAAGCTAGTAACCCTCTAGGAGCCTCTAACGTGCTTCTTCTATACAACGTTTACAGCTTTTCCCATAGCAAGTGAATCATAGGAGGCAAATGAGAGATGAAACAGGAATTTGGAACAGAAAGAGTTGGTGCCTTGAAGTTTAAAAGAGATTTTAAACAGGTGCAGTCCAGAAAAGGCCCTCTGAAGATCCAAGAAATATAACAAGAAAAAGGGAAAAAATCTCTGCACAGCACGTTAGATTGATAAACCTGCCATGGCAAATAAAGAAAGAAACAAATACTACAAATAATATAAATCCCATAGACCACTAATAAATAACAGCTTATACCACATGCAATTCCAAACCTAAATAGTTTTTCCCCCAATGCTGTTCTTGACCCCTTTCTTTCTCACCCCACTCAAGCATTACGCCATCTCTAGGAATGATGACATACACCACTCAGTGACAGAGACCAAAATCAAACCACTAAACAAACAACAAAAAACAAAACAAAACAAAAACTATCTCACACCTAAGCTACTAACTCTTAGACTGTTGCCTCGCCCTAACCAGACTTGGGCCAGGCAAACATTACAATGATTGTTTCCAAAGAAAGTACTATAAATCTACCCAGTCCAGATCAGTGTGTGAATTCACCAAGAGCGAATAATTCAAGAGCTGCCTGCCCTGTACGTGAAACAGAAATTCCTAGGCGTTATAATATTATAAGGTAACAAAAGACCGACAAGCACACAGGACATCTGCCATGCCATCAAATACAAGGGATTCTGTCCACTTAAGGTTAGACTGTGCATACGACAGCCAGTTAAGTACATAAAATGAATATACAACTTCAAATCACACTATATTTCAAACAAATACATGAAGGATGAAGTAGCTCCTTCCTTCCTTAAACGCCTGCTAGCTAAAAAAGTGAATGATGGCAGCATCACACTATTACTAAAACCATCCTCAGAGCCCCATGTTAATAATGGATTCCTAGGGATACATCAATAACAGCAACATAAGCATCAAGGTATTTTGACATGACGTTTGCCCTTGGAGGACAAACCTAACCATCCCACATAAATAAATTGGCAACCCATAAAATGCCACAGCCTTCGCCATGATTACCAAATGTGCCACAGGGTTCCGAAGACATGAAGAGTGATGCGAGTGGGAAGAAAGATAAAATGATGTTCTTTTGGTTAATGGAGTGACCTGTAATTCAGCAGACCACGATTCCTGGCTTTGCCACGGATAGTGCTGTGGTCACAGGTAAGTCACCCACCTCAACCTCAGTTACCCACTCGTATTAGCAATCCTTGCACCCCCACTTGCCCGAGGGGGTTAGCTCCCAATTGCCAGGCCCCAGGCGCGGTGGCCAGGGAGGCCCCACAGCCGGTGTTCACACCACCTGGGAGCTCTCCTGCCTGTTCCGCCAAGGGTGGGATCGTCTCTCGAGCCTATTTGAAGTTCCAGTGACCTGGGCTGTTGGCCTTCACTTGAGATGAATATAACAGACAGTGGGGGAAAGAGAAGAGGGGAAGAAAGGGCACACAGAAAAGAAAGAAAGGAAAACTCAAGTTATCTGTTTTTGTTGTTGGCATGCCACTCGCTCTCCCAGATCGGCTTTTTACTAATCAATGTGAAGGCACAGCAAGACTCTACCTCTAAGACATGGCTTGCACAGGCAGGTGAAAAACCAGACAAAAAGTTTCAGTCCCATCTTAGCAAGAAATAATCAGGATGACAACAACAAAATAAAGCAGGTAGCTGGCGTTGCACTGGCTTTTGCCTGCGCTGATTGGCAAAGGCAGTGAGCAAAGCCTCAAACCAGCTCTTTGACAAGGCCCAACGCCTCCCCAGCACCCCCGTGTAATTACACACTTGAGTGACTGGACTCTGAAGAAAATTGAAGGCCTGAGCTGCGAACAGCTGCCATTTTCTCTCTCCATCACGCCAGCATGATTACTTGAGAAATGAACAGCCCCGGCTCAAAGCTACTCCAGAATTCTCAGAGGAAATATGGCTCCGTGTTCAAATAATGAGATTCTTAAGGCAAGCGTTACTTACAATCACACCACACACCAAAAAGGAAAAAAAAAAAAAAAAAGGGGGGGAGGAGGAAGAAGGAAAAAAAAAAAAAAAAAAGAGAGCCAGAAAGAAAGAAAGAATGCCAGGGTCCTCAGATCTTACAAATTAGAATTTAAGAAACCCGGCCTCAGTCTAGGGTAATTATGACCCTTTTTCTGCTTTTGAGAGTTACCTTGTGGATGGCTACTTTGGATCTATTTTTGGTAGTAAGAGACCACATTATCTTTTGGAAAAAAAAAAAAGAGAGAGAGAAAAAGAGAAAGATAGTGTTGTAATTTGCTTCTTGGAAAAGCAGGATACCTAACTCTAGTCTGTGCTGAAAATCACATGGTATCTAAATTCTTCCTGCCTCAAGGAAGGTGGGCATTCAATCTGCTTCAAAGCATTACATGGGACAGAGATTTTTTGAGACTTTTCAGGGTTTTTTTTCCCCTTATCATTTAGGAAGCAGGAAAAAAAAAAGATAGGACTTGACTGTTGGCTTTTTCCTTATTTTTGGTGGGAACATAAAATATTGGGGGGGGGGGGTTAGCTATTACAGAAGGGCTGAAGTGAATGAGAATTGAGATTTTTCACAGAGTAACAAGACAGAAAAATACAAAAAGATGGTGAGGTGCATAGCAGGTCCTAGTATCAGGATTGCTTTGTGTTTCTATGGTGGAATCTAGGACTGATCAAGAGGAACCTGAGTCCAGGAGATTCCTCCTCCCTTTGCGAACACCCTGGAGAGCCTGATCTGGTGGAACCACCCTGAGCTGAGAGGCCGAGTCCTGCACAGACTCCATGGTCCAGCCTGGAGTCCAGCCGGTCAGAAAGCATCACTGCAGACCAAAAATGGGCCTTTCTGAGCTTAGCACCACAGAGAGGCTAAGAGAGCAACTGCTGAGCCTATGGGAGCAGGTTAGGGCTCATCAAGGAAGAGCAGGTAAAACCCCTGAGGGACCTCCATATGGGCGGGCTATTCACTGCTGGAAACCCACCCTGATTAATAATGAGGGACCATAAAAGTGTTTGTATTCTAGCATTATTACCACAAAAAAGTCTGCTTTTTATGCTGGTAGCATACTGAATTACCTTCCAACAAAGCAACCCCGCTTTAGTATCATGAGCTACTATAAAGATAGGGTGTCTCTGCAACCCCTGAAGACTAAGAAGCAAAATAAAACAGAGTCTAAAAGTTAGCCTTTAGCACCCTCTCAATGTTAGAGTTAAGTCAGCATTCTCATTTCCCCACAGATGTTCACAAATCACTTGCATAATTAGCCTACATTGCAATCCAAGAGGCAATCAATGCAGGGCAGTCATGAACCAGAAGGTGCACAGAAACTGAGGAGAACAGTATGTGCTGGGTCCCCTCTAACACGAGACTTAGGTGCCCTAATAAGAAAGTACAAAGAAATTCCACACTGCCACTTCTGTAGCTAGAAGACTATCATCTCTAAGGCTAAAAGCTGTCAATTTGGTACCTTTCAAAGCATCAATCATTTATCTTCATAGAGAAGCAAATTTCTAGAGTACCAATAGACAACTTACGATGAGCATTGTAACAAGCAGGTTCTTCTTGGTGACCTGAGCATGTGAGAAGATGTAGTTCAATACAGCATTCATGTCACTTTTATTCTCTTCCCGAAGGGCAAAGACACACTTGTCATAGTGACCTGCAATCAGAAACGCATGTTTTTTTCAACCTCCACACCTGTGTCATGCAATGCCTGTGACTGGATGTGTTTTTCTTTTTTTCTTTCTTTCTTTTTCTTTTTTTTTTTTTTTTTTAAATTAACGCATACATTTGTTGAGAAACTACTTGGCACGACTTACATAAACAATTTTGGGATAGAAGCATTCCCCCCCTGTGGCTCGCTCCCCTGGCAAATTTTGATTTAGGAATCCTCCCGTTATTTACTTTTAACAGTTCCAATGCCAAATAGCTCCTTTGTTAACACTACAGAAAAGAGGAATGGTGAGTACAGTCCCTTTCGTTCAAAGGACAACCAGAAAAAACAATAGCAAAAAGACCCGCACCATCCTCTGCTACCATCAAACTGAAGTGGAAATGAATCTGCAGCACTATTAGGCTGGTGCATGTATGGCAACAGAACGAAAGAAAAGTAGAACAGAACCTGAATTACCTGTATGAGTTAGAGCTTCAGAATTAGCTAGTGATTCATTGCCATCTTGTGCCTGCACAGAGCAGTGCAATGCATTTATTTCAATTCTCACTTTCAGGCTGAGGTCTGAGACTTGTTTTTATGAACACTGAAAAGTTTCCCGCTATTTTACAGCGGTTGCAATTAACTCTGATTTTTTTTATTGCACTTGATTTTCTTACTACAAAATATAATAAGTAGTCATGGTAGAACTAAACAAGAAGTAGGACAAATTTAAACAGCTTTTCTAATTCAAATTTTTCTCCAGATGCTCAGAAATCAGCATATAAAAAACAAGGTTCAAATAGGAAGCTTTTACATGTAGAACACCTAGGATGGAGAACTCTTTAGCTGTGGGCCACTACTGACAGAGTCAAAGGAATAGAAAGCAAAGGAGAACAGCTTCATTTCTGATCTAGAACAAGCAAAGAGCACATAATCTGGCTAAGCTTTAAAGAGCTCAGTAACAAACTAGAAACTGCAGCACAAAAAAACCACATAATTCAGTGAGACTATCTTTTAACTCCAGATTATACAGAAGTCCTCGCTTACAGCATTTGAAGTAATTTTAAAAACCCAGTGTAGTGATACAGGTAGAACATGTCCCAAACTTAGACCTCGCTACAAGATATAAGGAACAGGAAGGTAATCATAAATGCACATAGTAGCTGTTCTTTTGAAGATTTACAGAGAAAAGGAGCATTCCCAGACTCCCAGATAGGGTCATTAAGAGATTTAAACTGTGGACAAGAGGGCACAGGATATGAAAGAAGATAGATATACCTACAGGGGACAAAGAGTAAATCAGGCAACTTTTGGGTGGAGTTTGTCATCTGCTGGTTCAAACCAATGACACGTAAGTATTCTGAGCATTCCTACCATGAAAGCTCAAATTGGACATCAACTCCTCTACCAAAAAAAGGACTGGACTGGGTAGGCCTTTAAAAGAAAACCTGCATGGCTTAGCTTCACCATAAAGGTGGTCTAATCTTGCTTGAAGGGGATTCATATGGACCTTCGAGAGCAAGTGTGTTTTTTCAGAAATTGAATGCTTGATATACTTAAGTGACTCACCATGCTGAAACTGAGTCTCCACCTTTAGATACTGACGGAGCAGATCCATCACCACTGCTTTCATGTGACCCCGAATACCACTCCGGTACCTACAGAAGCAAATAGGTCAAACCTAGCACTGAGTGCAACTGTCACTGTCCTGCTTCTGAAGATATGCAAGTGAACAACACTCAACATGAGCTGACAGGAAGAGTCCACTTGCCTATGGACACAAGTGCACCTGATTCTGAAAACTGCGGCCTGCCACCACAGTGAATACATAACCTCTGCCATTACTAATGTGGGTTAGCTTGGCAAATGTTTTGCAGCAAAATATCCTTGTCCTTCCCAAAATATTCAAAACTCTGCAAGTTGAGAGGAGTGACAGACATCAGCTGCTTGATGAAGTGGCCAAGATGGGATCAGTGTCAGGACAGAGGTTAAATCTGCACTTCATAAAGCAAAGGGGAAAAATAGAAAGGATCTGTACCTGTGCTTCACACATGCAGCAAGGAAAGGCAATTCCATGAGCCACATACATATGGCCTCCTTTCACTGCTGACTTCCCTTAAGGGGGTAGGCGGTTTTATTCCTAGTGGTTTAGAATTTGTGTGTGACAAAACTGGTCTACCCAAAGTAAGTGGCCTTGAGTCTTTCAGGGAGGAGGTGGGGAAAAAAAAATTCCACACAAAAGGAATTAGGGAACCCCCCTGAAAACTGCTCACCTCTGTACAAGCTGCACAATGCTCTGGGTGTTCATGAAGAAGACCTCACGCTCTGATTTGCGGTTCAAGGTGGCTGCATGGCTATCCAAGATATTGGCAATCTGAAAGAGAACAGTCATATGACAGTCCCAGTCCTGGATGGGAAGATCTTGCCAAACACACACACAGATGAGGACTTCCAGACAGACCAGAGCAGAGTTCCAGCAGACTCCAAGAAAGACTAAAGTCTTAAACTGTTACGGAAGGCAGTCACCTGACAAGAAGATAAAACTTGATGCGCTATACCATATGCTAGGGAAATAATCCTCTAACGTGTTATAGCCATCAGCACGTGCAAAATGCTGGAACTGATCCAGAAACAACTTTAAGGCAAGGACAGAGCAGTCCTTCACAGCATGCAACAATAAGGATGACAGGTCTCTTCCCAATCTATCGTTCTTGCTTTCTATTCAGAAACACTCAGCTGAATTACAGAACATCTAACATAATCTTGGAACCTGATCAGGCCTCCCTTTGTTGCGACCACTTCTTTAAGGTTATGTTGACACTGCAAATAGCACTGCAGCATATGCACCAACCAAAAGCAAGTAAATAAATGCCCACAAGGCACTGCAATGCTATGATTAAACTGCTTCCCAAGCTAGCTTGTTTAAAGCTGTACTGAGTAGGGGACACATACCCTTCACCACAGATACAGAAGGCAAATATTTAAGCTCAAGTGGTATAGGCAAGCATCTTTCATCATGAAGATCCAGAGTTCAAATGCACCTTTCAGGTTCAACTAATCTCCAGATAATTTAAAGGATCTTCTTTCTCTCTGCCCCAACACAATCCAATTTTTCTTCCTCTGTGTAAGTGTGGTTCATCACCTGTTGGCTGGGAAATTGGCAAAGGACCGATGTGATGTTGCTGGCATATTGGGCCATCTCCTTCTTGATGGACTTCTCCACATTGGGTGGTATTCGTCCAGAAACACTGGTCATGATGTCCTGAAGTTCCAGGAGAGGCAAAGATGGATCTCTCAGTGTCTTCATGAGTCGCTCAACCCAGCCTTTCACCTAGAGACAAGTTGGTGTAAAGACAAGCATGAGGAAAGAATAAGCAACAAGAACGGAGAAAAGGAAAAGGCGGTTCGGTAAGGTCATCGTTAATACTGTTGCTCACGCAACTAGTCCAGACACTAGAAGAGGGGATTGTGGCAGATGCCAAAGCTGCTGTGCCACCCTTCACCAACAACTGGCTCAGAGTCATCCACGTTATTTACTGCTCCCTCCAGGACTTCAGCCACAGCTGGCTATGGAGGCAGCTCATACCTATGAGACTGCAGGCACAAGCAGTAAAGATCGAACTCAACTCCTTGTCTTTGGCTTTGTTTTGGGTGTCACAGGTGGGACCCTCCCATTTTACTCTCTGGTCAGACTGGCTACAAGGAAATCTGAGAAAGAAAACTGAGGCCAGCTGGCACTAGCAGGGCAGTGTAGCCTCCGGCCCTGATTCTTGGACCTCTGGCTTTGACAGGCAAATTGGCTGACCTTATCTTGTACGGGAAGAATATTTGCTTTCCTTCTAAAACAGCGAGTAACCAGTACCTTGCTGCTGAAGTAGGGCTCTGGCAGGCAGTATCCATTCATCACATTGACCAGGTTATCTAGGACATAGTGGAAAACGCGATGGAGTTTCTCGCCTCGAAGTGCTGTGCTCTGGATCTGTGGCAAGGTACCCGTGTGCAGCTCAGCCTGGAAATAAAAACACCACAGTAAGTCTCATCAACCCTCCTACACGGCACCAGCAGCGAGAATTCCACTTCTTTCCTCCAGTTTTCACCTTTGAGCAGAGTCAGATTTAACCTGGAGGAACTGAGGGTAGAAAATGCTAGCGAGTGAGGGAGAGAGGGAGAGAGAGAGAGACAGACAGACAGACGGAAACATGCCTTTCACTAGAAGAACAGATTGCTTTCTACCACCACCAGCTACACCTCAGTCTACCATCCCTAATGGAATATAGCTGTTTGCCTTTCACCTTAAAAGAGATCCATGTCCTAGCCTTTTTTTTTCCTTCTCTCTCCAGATTTGCTACAATAGCTTCCACAGTGCCTGACACTCCTGACGCTCTTGGAGCTAAGATATCTATTCCTATCCTCCAGGAGAGGATCACTTAAGCAAAGAAAAATCCATGATGAAAAGAAGTCATGGAAGTAAAAGCAACATACACTGGAATAAAACAGAAAGATCTGGCCAACTGCTAATATCCTATCTAGAGAGCCATGCACCCATAACATTACTGAGGTGAGAAGGGAACAAGAATGGTACACAAACTTAGTCTATCAGTCAATCAGAGAAAAAGACATCCTTGCAGTCCCCCTCCAAAACAAATAAGCGGTAAAGCAACAATTCCAGCACAAATCTGAAATTGATCCAACAACTTTGACCATCTTGCACCACTCTCAGCATCACTCCCGATCTAACATCGGCCCTTCCTGCAACTTCTTACCTGCTGAACCCTGCTGGGATCATCCAGTTGGAGCTTGGCAATGACACAGCCTGGATCCAGCACTGCTCCAGGGCGTTTGACATAATGGATGCAGCCCGATTCTCCTGCTGTTAACGTCATCACCATCTTCATCACCTGCAGGAAGGGAAACAGGTTACACGTGCAGCTTTCGTGTTCCCCAAATGGTTCTAGCTTTATGAGTTAGCAGCTGATACCCTACCACAGACCTGGATGAGCACCTTTTGCATTCAGGCTTCCTCAGAGGCTTAAAAGCACACACTTACGCTGGGAATGAAACCCCACACACTGAAGTGAATGGCAGAACAAACTACTAGGCCAGAAAATTAGCACAGCAGGAGGCCATCCTCAGGAAAATCACCTGTTCTATACTGCTTGGACACACAAGTACACATGAAGGTCCCACATTCAACACAATCAACAAAGCAGACACAATTTATTGCTGCAGCTGCTGCAGCCAAAGGGCTAGAAGTGGGAGAGCCGCTCACAAAAATACAGCGACACACTAGCTTTTAGTGGAGGGAATTTGGTTTACCTTCTAGAGGCCACAAGTCTCAGACTGCTGTTCACAAATAGGGATGCTTCCTTAGTTCAAAGATGGAAGCTCTTGCCTTTGGAGCAGAAGGGTTGAGTTTGGGGGGAAGCAGTCTAGTTTTATCATCGCTGTAACATACAGCACAATTGGGAACACTGTAATTGAGTAGGTGGTTCTTACTTAGCCATAGCTCTGTTATAGTGTAAAAGCATTTACATAAAATATCTGGACCTCTGGTTTGGTATTTTTCTCCTACACACTCTTCCCAGCTGGTTTAATTGCCCCTCTTCCAACACACCCTCTCCTCCCTCAAATATGTTTTGAGCCTTGCACTCCTACACAACCCCTCATGCTTTCCTCATAGTGTTACAGAAATTGCTCATTCTCCTCCTCCTCCTCTCTAAGAGTTAAGTAACTTCCAAGGGAGAAACGAGGAGTGATGCTTATTTCCAGCTTAACTCATCTGATTAACCTGATAAACAATAAAGTAGTCAGAGAAGTCTTAATTTGTTACTCAACTCTAGCACGTAACTCTGCTCCTGAGTCTCTGTGTTAGCGCCAAGCAATGGTCTACAGATAGAAGGCCTTTTCCATCATAGCTGAAAGACACAGTACACGTGGATCCCACTCTTCTTTGCTATCTGTTGCAGTAAGATGGTCACCACTGTCCCACTGCTGAAAGTTTTGCTTATCACTTGCTACAGTCACTAACTCAGCTGTTAAGTAATCTCTCCTCTCCCACCCAGTCGCTGACTGCTGATTCCCGATGAGTCCATATAAAAACCACATGTGGGAGTTAGAAAGGAAATATTGTGAGTTATTCCACACTCTCAATTCCCAGTTCCAAAGCACTTCAACTTTTTTTTTTCTCTCCAGCTTTGTTCCTGGGCAGATTCAGCATCTGCAGCCAACTCAGTCCTTTGAGACTCTCTTACCTCTATTTCTGCAAAGCACTGGCCTGCAAACACATGTCCCCCATCCTCCACAACATACTGGATAAGCTTCCCAGCTGAAGGTGAGCGCAGTATAGAGGGATCATTCTCCTTTTCAAACACACAGGTCTTGTTACCTATAGTGATGCGATACCTAGGAAAGAACAGGACAAATCACTACAACAAAATTCCGCACGGAAAGGAGAAAAATCCATTCTCTTGCCCTATTCCACTTCAAAAGGAAAACACCACAACCAGCTCTTCTGAGCTGAATGGTATGGACCTGCATATGAAAATTCAGATTAACCACATCAAAACAGGACTACAGAAGTTAGGGATAAGGAACCAGGCGGAATAACCCTCAACAACTTTGTATGTATGCTACTTTTGTGCTTCTTCTCAACCAACAGACACCACACAGTGTTGGAACCAACAACAATGAGGTTTCAAGATTTCATACAAACAAAAACTGATGTTAATGGAGATTGCACTTGCCATACATAGCATACACACGCACACATGCAAAACACATTCACAAAACTGCCTACCTCATGCAAAATCCTCATGTTTGCAGAGCAAAGCTGAAAACAGCAAGACGCACCTATGCGGTTCACTAAGAGGTTGAGATTTTATAGCATCTTCCAACACAGTAAGTTCCCAAAGCTCTTTTTGAGCTCCTGACCAGATTTGCCACATTCGGCACAGAAAACACGCAGCAGAGGGGGAAAAGTCATTTAAATTCCAGTAGCTGGAGATTTACTGACATTTTGAGGGAATAATAAATCTCGTGTCTGTTTCTAGGAAGGCTGTGGAGTTACAAAGATTTTAAAGCTGTTCAGGTTTTAAGAGTAAGTTGGAAAATATCTAACAGGAATGGCTTAGGAACAGCTCTGCCTACATTGGGCAGGAAAGGACTCAAAGTCCTTTCTTGACCTGTTCACTTGCTAGTGGAGCTAGACCTCAGTCTGAGGTCCCTGGATGGGTTAGTCCCCATGTAAGTCATCATTTTACAGAAATGGTTATGGTATCACTATGCTATGATGGCACACTTAAAAATAATCTCAAAAGGTACCTACCATTCTAGACTCCCTTGGAAAAGTTAATTCAATCTAAGTAGATAAACCAGGAAACATTTTAACATCTCAAGTCAAACTTTGCATAAAATTTTGCAACCTGCCTTAGTCCATTAGGATGAAACTGCCTTGGGCTTTTCAAGGTTTTCTCCTTTAAAAGAACTCTTGAAATTACAACATAGTTAAGAGCTACCCATCAGCCTCAGTAAATACATATTCTGGTTTTCATTTTCATGCGTTTCATCCCACCAAGTCAAGCACTCAGCATCCCGTAAGCAGTAATGAAACCTCAGAGGACCAAGGTCTCCATCAACAACTTTCAAATTGCCCAGCTTAGGGTCACGGAAGCAACAATGACTTCACACATTTTTACAGAGATTGCAAGTCAATCCAAAGACCAAAGTCAAGAGAAACGGGAATCTAGACTACAGCTCACCTAAGCGACCTGAAAAATCAATCTGACCAGCTGAATGGTCAACAGAATAGTAGGTCCCTTTTATAGGTGAACAGATATAATCCAAAATGGCACTTTTAGAGAGCCAGAAGGAAAACATTAACTCCCCATTGGTACATGTTCAGATCTCTCTTCTAGCAGCAGCAGCAGCATTTGTTCTTTAGACGAAGGCAACTTCTCCCTTCAAACTCATCTGTAATGACACATCTAGTAACCTTTTCCTAGGAGAGAATTATTTCCTCAGGTCATCTTTGGGAATCATAAAGTTACAAGCACACGTCATGTATGAGACACATGTATGTAAGTCTTTTCAGGTTGCTACCTGTCCACTTCTTCTTTCATGTAGGTAGTATAGCTGCTGCCATCATAAGACAGAAGCAGTCCTCCATCACTCAGACGGTGCACATCAACTTCCACACAGGAGCTGTTCATGATGACCACATAGGAATTGGGAGACTGCCGGGTCACCTGCAGATCCACAAGAATGGGAGGCGTCATAAAAAGGAAACATGACATTGATACTACCTTGGCTGCTGTAACACACAGATAGTTCTCCAATCCCTGCAACAGTAATAACTAAAGGGACAGGAGATGAGCCATTTGTTTTCATCTTGGATAGAAAAAAAAAAAGTTTTAAAAAAAAAAACTTGGGATTGCAGAACCAAGCATTTAGCAAGTCAAGAGATGCCAGAACTAAGGCTGTCCATGAACTTTGATTAAGTTCTCTCATATTTATGTATTAATAGTACAGGTTTGATCACACAACCATATACCACTTCTTCACCCTGATCAGGATACAAATCACAGCTGTGTACTGAAGGAAGTGCTCATCTCTGAATTTCTGCATCATCTCCTGCAGCAGTAAAAAAAATGCAGAATGAAGGAGATCGTATGAAAAAAAAAGAGAGATTGTCTCACAGAGAAAGCAGCTAAAGTTTTCCCTGAAGAAATGGAGCCTATCAAGGTCTCTGCCACAGAGATCTCTTCTGAAGTTAAGTCACTTAAAGCACACTTTTAATCCCGTGTTCATTGCCTCTCTATTCCTCATCGAAGGGATGTCAAGATAAAGTGGAATATAACACGCAGAAGTGCAGAGAACTTACAGCTGCAAAACACAGTATATGATCATGTCATTTAAACTTCATCATAATAAATTTGCTTAAAGGAAGACAATTAAGATTGCACAGGCAACATTTAAGTCTAATATTTCCTAACTTTCGTATGCTTGATTTTGCAACCTTTAAGCAATATTTCTAACATTTTTTTTGCATGTAGTAATGAAAAGTAAAGCTAAAAGGAAAAATCGCTACAAATTCTGTCATGCTGACGACATTGGGCTAGACCAGTCAACATAGTAGATTCACACATTCAGTAGCATTGACAGAAAATTTCAGGCAATTAACAGGCAGTAGTCTTTGCCTATAATAAAGTTTTTTTTTTTTAAATCATCTACAGAGTAGTTCTTGGCCCTGGAAGATTAAAAATTTTACAGAGATACACAGAGATATTGCAATAAAAGATGTGATGGCGTATCATCCTAAGTGAGATCACAGCTGCATTTCTCAACCCCTCAAACACAGAGAAAAAACCCTGCACAGAGTTTAAATTCCATTAATTACATCTATTACAACGATTAAGCCAGAACAGCACGCAAACAAGCATTTCCAACCAGCAGTGGGAAGAGGATGGGTTTCCACACTACACATCGTACCTTCAGCACGTACTTCCGTCCTTCATAGATGAGTTCCACGTCCACAGTATTTAGCAGGGTATGAGCAGGCAGGACTTGGCCCCTAAAAAAGAAATATAGAACAAAACTTGTTTTCCAGAAGCCACCAAATGGCCATTGGGGGCCAGAGGAGGTTTGAAGATACTTGCAAGAATCTGGAAACCACTAGCAGATAGATGGAGCAGGCCCATAAACCCTCTCTCCTTCGGAGAGGTATGTGTCATTTTGATAAAGCCAGCTTGTCTCCATCCACATAGACCTGCTATCTCCTCTCCTCTATGCACCCACTTTCCCTCTGCAAAAGATTCTGCAAAAGAATCTCGCAGCCCAAGTTACAGAACTTGTTGCATGACTTAAAATAGGGATAAAGCAGCTTTTCCCTCTACAACCCCATTTACAGTATGGGCTCACCTACAGGACAGTGAGGGGAAGAGCTCAGTTAACAATGAACTTGCCTGGATCATACCAGGTTTAGCCTGTCTGAGCGTTATGAACCGTTTCAGGAATGCAAGGGGATTTCCTAAGTATTAACGGAAAATATCCAGTTTGGAAAATTATGAGAGAGAGAGAGAGAGAGAGAGAGAGAATGAACTTCACATTTCTGGGCCATTTCTTGGAGCTTCTGCCAAAACTGCCAGTGATCAAACCAATCTGTGCAAACAGTAGGGCATACTTTGGGGACATGTCTGCCAGTTTTCCTGGGCCAGTAGCTAAACAGCTTCCTGGATCCAGAGAACAGTCAGCTGATACTGGCTAGCTCCATACGTTCCTGGATTGTGCTGCATTTGAACAAAACTTGGAGAACAAAATCAGATTACCATCTGCTTGTCAACCATCTGACAGACCAGCTTGCAATTTTACCTTTCCAAAGAGTGCAGGAAGTTGGAGACACTGTTTCGGAAGCTAACGTCAGCCACATGCAGAGCCCCACACACCACTCCGAGGATGGTATCTGGCCTTTCCGCCTAGAAAGAAAGAGTAAGAGTAAGGGAACACCTTAATCATTCTCACAATTACATCTCCTTCAGCTCCAGTACGATACGGACGTGCACTTGAAGATTCAGTCTCAGTTCTATTCCTGGCTCAAGGCAAATCTCTATCTTTAAAGATAAACTGCTGTAGCATCCATGCAAACACTATACAGAAACGATCACCTCTGCAAATACTTAAAAGAAATACACTTTAATTTTTTTTTAACTCCCAGGACCAAATCCTGGAATACATTTCACCATCACCTGTCCCAAACTGCAAGCCAAAAATACTAGCCTCAACTCTCATTTACACTAAAGTGCTTTTATGACCAGCTTTAAGACCACTTTCCTCTGAAAAATGGTGACCAGAGATTTTGATATAACCAGAATCAAGCCCAATGAAAATATTTCCTTTCCAAGTGATAAGGGGAAATTAACCACTCCTAAACCCGTGTCCTCTAGCAACCAGAAAGCACCAAGCTTTCCTCCCCACCCACTCAATCTCTCCAATTTGCAGTCCTGTAAAGCAAGAAGCTGCACCTGCACTTTCTCAGCAATGAGCCGATCCAACCAGCCAGTGTCAATGCGGTTCTGCTGGAAGCTTTCCGTTTCCAACAGTTTAATCAAGTACTCAACAGTGGTTCGGAAATCCCCTCGAATAGACAGCTCCTTCAAAGCCACCACCATGTTTCTGAAAGACAAAAAAAAAAAAAATCTATTTTTTGTCCTACGCTAACAGTAACATGCAACCTGGTAAGTCCAGATAGTTCCTCATGAGACAGTCCCCTCTGGAAAAAATAGCCTGAGGGTAATAGTAGACGAGCATATGCACTGGAGCAAGATCATATATAACTCGCTTAGGAATGAAAGAATATTGGTTTTTTTCAATGTGCTCCTGGGATGAACCAGAAAAAGTCAGCCAGCACCAGCTATGAGATCAGGAGCTCCCAATATTACCATCATATCTAAGTGCCTATCGCATGCATACGCAGATGTAAACAGAACAAAGACAGACATAGTCTCCATCCCATCCAGCACACAGCAGATGAAAGGTTCCGCATGAAGAAACGCACAGACAACAGTTGAGACAGTCCTGTCTTATTATCTGACTCTATAACATTCCACACCACATGAGGACAGCTCGGTTATGTATAAAGCATTGGCATATCAAGTTATCAACGCTGTTCCTGTTAGAAGCCTTCCACATGAAAGTTTTCAAAGAAGAATTTCAATGCAAGAGTAGCTTTATCATACCCAAGCAGCAGGCATACAAGGCAGTGATGAAAGAGAAAAGAAAAAAAAATAAAGACAAGTTTTTAAAAAAAAAAAAAAAAGGTAGAAATATATGTGCAACACTGGAACTGCTTAGACAAGACAGAATGAGAAGCCTGGCCATGATGTGGGAGACTTCTCTTAAAGGGAGACTTCTCTTAAAACTCCTGTAGAAGTAAGGAGTCTGGTTTTATCTATGGTGCTTTGGACCAAAGAGGACCAAAGCAAGCAATTTCCATAGTTCTAGCAGTTTTCTGACTACTTACGAGATGGCTTCCTCTCGATTCTCTCCCCAAGAAAAGCAGTGACCAAACTGAGAATCAGCAAATTCATGAAGCCCACCTGCAGCAGCAACACTGAAATAGCCCCAGACATTCTTATTGCTGCGGAAATTCAGTTCTTGGACTGTACCAGAACTGGGCTTAAATCCCTGTAAAGACAGATAGACATTTCTATACATCTTAAAGGAAAAGTAAATAATTCAGAATTAGGGAAGTAATTGGAGCTGTGAAAGTTAAAGCACCTCTTTGTGCTGCAACATGATATATATTAGCTAAATTCAACTTGGTACAAGCTCAGCCTGGAGATAGGCAAGGAAAAACTCTATACTGCAGGAGATAATAATGCAAGGCATTCAGTGCCAAAGCACCAGCACAGGTCTAAGAAATACAATAACGTAGGAATTGTTGTAGTTTAGAAACTACAGGAAACTGAAGCCCTCAGCTTTCGTGAGGTCACTAACATCTCAGCAGCTAATCATGAGAGCGTGTAAGGGGGACAACCAACTCACAACAGAAAAAATTCATAATCCTGTGGCACAGTCACAAGCTATTACATCCAGAGAAGGTGGGGAGGCAAAGGAATGCTGGTCATAGACACTGTACGATATGCCTGTGTCAGTGTATCTGCTCCTTGTCTCTAACCATAGCGTACAGATCAGCCAAGTAAGTGAGATAAAGGAGGAATCTTAAGTCTGCTGCCAAACTTTTCAGGATCAGCAGCAAGGGCTGAACCTAGGAGTAAGGCTTGGAATTATCAGAGTGTAATGAAGAACTACAGAATTTAAAACACTTACCTCATCAGGATTCTCACTGGTGATACGTGCTGCAATGACATGGCCACGTGGACAGGGTACATGGGCCGAATTCTCAAAATCAATAGGTACATCTCCCCATGGAGAAACACCGTACATCATTCGGATATCCTTGATCCTATGGAGGGGAATCCCCATAGCAATCTAGAGAAAGGAAAAAAAAAAAAATTAACCACTGTTAGTTAAGTTGCTCTCCTCACAGAGGATACATCTTCCTTGAAGGATTAATTCCACCAGTTCCCCATAGAAGGTGATGCTGCAGTTCTAGTCTAGCTAAAAGGTATGCCTGTTTTCTTATGTGAGCTTTTTCTATTGACACATTTTTGAACATTCATATTACTCAGGCCAGCTGAAATGAGTGTAATATCCACCTCAAGCCTTTCTGCTAGTATTTTCCACTGCCTGATTATAAGCCTTCAGAGAAGGCTGGCTAATGTTAGGTCAGCTGAGGCAGGGCACGCATTAAACCTGTTAAAAATATACCAAGGTCCTAGTGATACAGAAGGCCCTTAACTGGTGGTAGGAGACCTTTGTGGAATTTCACAACCATGAATTGCAGAGCAGGTAACTTGCAGAATTGGCTGCTAACTGTATCCTTATGGGATAAAGTCCTAATTGTAACTCTGTTCAGTAGCTGAGAATTTTTTTTTTTTTAAACCGCTACAGTTCAGAAAGGGTGAACTTTAGCTCAGCCATTTTCTTCAGCTGACTATTAGTCGGACACTGAAGGGATGCTCAGGTAAAAGAAAGACCAAACTGGTTACAGTATCAATGCACCCTTCTATGAGATCCTATCTAGCAACTGCAATGTAGAAGAACAGCGCCCAATGAGGAAAGCATCTGATCAGCTACAAAACTCCGGATGCCTGACACATACAGACACAGAGCTACTGGCATAATCTGATGAGATCACACTCAGTCCAAAGTCACATAGCCACCCGACAAAACAAAGATGATCTTGCTCCTCCTGTGTGCTGAAATAAGGTGACTATAGTCTTGACTGTTAGCAATTGGACTGGGGATCTCTAGAGTAGGAGAAATCATGATACACCTGCCAGGCAGAGGGAGCTGTATGCCAGAGCACTTACGGCCTGAAAACATCTCACTGTTCAAGCTTACAAGCTCCTAAGGGAACACGTACTCTTCAAGTAGGCGTTGAAAGTTGCTCATTATTGAACGGTAATATCTTTTGACAGTCTTGGGTGGCAGAACTGAGAAAGCAGTGCCTTTCCAAACCCAAAGCAAATTGCTCCAAAGGTTTAGCAAGAAAACAATTTCACCATTCATGAGATTTCTGTCAAGTCAACATAGTGAATTCAGCCACAGCTGCATGAAGTACAGTGACGGCTGATGAACTGCACTATGAAAGAGCAAGCAGCTACGTTTCCCGGGCAATACCCAGCAGGATAAGGCCTACCATAATTTGGATTTTTTCTTATGGAGACTCTGATGCAACTTGGTTCCTGTGAACCCTGTGCTTTGGGGACAGTGAAGAGGAATCACGTACAATAGAGTTTATAGGGCACCAGACTCAATTTGATGGCATTTCTTGGTCTCCTCACTGCACAGAAACATCTTGCAGTTTCAGAAAAGGCAGGGTTATCAGGGGCAGAAATTCAAAAGCAGAAAGGGGAAGGTAAAAGTTAGGTTAGCAGAGCTACCAGTTTCAAACACTCTTGTAACTCACTGTTAGCCAAGAACAGCCTGCAAGACGTTCCAGGTAAACGTTTTGTTTCCTCTACTGTCTACCCAATAAACTTCAAAACGTGAATACCAGGAAGAAGAAAGAATAGGAGAAAGCAAGCAAGAGGGTAAGAAGGGGAGGGCTGAGACAAAGTAGGGAACATAGCAACAGAAAAGCACCCCGAGTCTCCGTACACCGTGGTGTAAGATAGAGAACTAGAGAGGAGGGAAGAGGACTGAGGCATTCAATCTTGGATGGAAAAGGTTGAGGGCTGAGGGAGATGCAATGGCAGCATACAGTGGGTTTGGGGGGAAATACAAGGGACAGATGGAGCCACAGCACATATAATAAACCCTTTCTACAGAGCCTGTGAAGGATTTCCTTATTTTTAGGATCAGAACAGCAACAAAAAAAACTGCTGGTTCATATAAACTATGACTGTCACTCACTATGATCATCTCCCCTGAAACAAGGCAAAAAAAAAAAAAAATCAAGACATCTAATCAAATACCTAATTATTAGGCACAAAACCTATGTTGTAGAAAGATTAAAGGTCAGGAACCTCAGCCAGGAAGAAGAAGCATCTGCTACGTGTGAGGGGTTCGAAAGGTTGAAGTAATTGCCTTGGAAGTCAAGAACTGCAAATCAAAACTAAAAAGATCAAAGTCACTCTCCTGAACTTGAAGCAACTGGAATATTTGCTGAAAGATTTTTAAAAAATAAAAATAATAAAATAAAATAAGGTCTGTTCTTTCTTCCCCCCTTTGTCATTGGAAACTCTGGGAATAAACCATTCTCCCTTGGAGGCACCGGAGCGGGCGATACGCTGCTTAAACCTGGCGGTATTTGATTGCTCTGCTAATCTCAGAAGCCAACTCCTTTCACAAAAGGATTTCAGAGCTTAAAGATGAACTACTCACAGCCAAAGCTTGTTGAGACAGGCTTTTTACATAAAACCTTCTCCTAACTCAGTTTTCCTGCCTCCCATTTTATTTCTCTACTGCTTGCCTTCACCCTCCCTTTAAGTAAAGCTCTCCTTGAATGACCTAGGAGGAACAACTGGAGAACAACCTCTCTTTGCCTTCCAAATCAGGAGGAGCCACAGGGCAGAACTGTGAGTGAGTGAAACAATCATAACGGAAGGGTAGAATAGCTTGGAACACAGGCTTCACTCCAGCCACAGAAAATGAATCCCAAGCTGGGAAATACCTGAAAAGCTCTTTTAGTTATTGGGGGTTTTTTTGTGGAGGGGAAGTGTGGAGGAGTTATACTAGCAGACACAAAAATTTATTACCCAGCCGCAAGTGAGTACATAGATCATATTTAGTAAAGCTCTCTAATACTCTCTTTACGTTCCCTCCCCTATCAGTACCTACATCTAGTCATCTGCATAATGCTAGCACATGATCCTGTTTTAACACTGAACCCTAGCAGTGACTCAGACAAGAGTCCAGCCCCCTCTTTTACTAAGGCTTCAGCAGAACAGGTTTTTCATGCTCAGACCTCAAGAACATCCCATGTTTTGAGTGCCGCTGAAAGCCTCCAGAAGCACAGGGTCCGGGTCCCAACTCACCTGGAGCTGTGCTGCAGGCAGATTAACATCAGCTACCATCTCTGTGCAGGGGTGCTCCACTTGCAGTCGGGGATTCAACTCCAGAAAGTAGAAACTGCCATCCTGGCTGTACAGGTATTCCACAGTGCCCGCACTCACATATCCCACCATTTTGGCAAGCTTCACCGCACACTAGGATACAGGACAAAAGAGCATTCCACTTCCAGGACCCACGGACAGTTACCTATGCTCTATTCGTCCACATCACCCACGTCAGACTTTCGTTGGCATTCTGAAGCAGCCAAAAGGTTGCAACAGGCACAAGGAGAACTGCTCGAAGAAAAGCATACAGCAGGAGTTTTGTTTTTTGTGTTATTTCCCTTATACTATAGAAGGCAGGGTTTGAAGTAAATATTTACAATACTAAGCATTAGAAAATGCATACAACTCCTGCAGGTTGCTGGAAATATGACCGTACACATTTAAAACACATTTCCCTCCTGTTTTTAAAGGTAAATATCTTTGAACAAAGCTCTATAGTTTTTTATCAGCACATGGTGGACTGAATCAGTTTTGGATATGTCAGAATCTGCCTGCATAAAGTAATTTAAGACACACAGTCCTATATCGCTCTTTCAAAAGATTCAATAATGCAAAATTAGTGGCAACATTAAAAAAAAAAAATTTGTCTGTCTGTTTCTGGAGTCTCACAAGGAAAAGAAAGCTCTCTGAGCCACACTCACCTGTTCCATGTGCTCAAACACCACAGAAGTTGCAATAGAAGCAGGCGCTTCCTCAATAATCTTCTGGTGCCTGCGCTGCACGGAGCAATCCCGGCCGAAGAGCGAGATGGCATTGCCATATTGATCTGCCAGAATCTGCACCTCCAGGTGGCGGGACTGTTTGGCTAGTCTCATTACAAAGATTGGTGAACCTGGGACTTCGGCTTGAACCTATAGCAGAGACAGCATGACGCAAACCAACTTCCTCTCCCATTCTAACATTAGCCTAAAATCTTTTCCTCAGTCATCTTTCTGGAAAAGACTGTTACAACAGTAAACCATTAGCGTTTGGTAGTACAGGCAAGACTATAAGTCATACGCTTAGTCCCCCCAGATAAAAGTAGAACCATAAAAAGCTTCTTAAAAAGCATTAACAAATTGAATTGAATAAAGCATCATTCTGAGAAGACTAGAAAATATCAGTCTATAGAGAAAACGAGAGAGGAAGTGATCAACATGCTCAAAATAAAACATCCAGGGCATTACAAAGCTGAGGGCTGCTCCTGAGCCACAGCTGCAAGCCCATCCCATCTCTCTTTTAAATTCTACTCCCAGGAAATAATATTGAAGGCTAAAAATCATTAATCTAGGCAAGTTTTATGTGAGCTTTATGCTAAGAGAGATTCAAACACAGCAAGAACTTTCCAGAAACGATACACTCCACAAATATTCTACAGATCTGTCACATCCTAATAAAACTGTTTTGTTCCGTAGGTAGTTTGGAGATCATTAAGGAATGACAAAGGGATGGCAGCAGGTAGAAGAACCTCAGTATCGTTTGTTCCAGTACAGAGACAAAGGGAAAACAAGTCTAGAAGGGCTAATGCAGCCCATGCTACCTTGCCCACACATACTCAGCAGTACTGCAATACTACTACTTCATACAAAGGGATAGATTGTTTTTTGGACGCAACGGTCTTAGCTGTAATCATCCCAAGCTCATTTTGCAAAGAATGAACATCCATAATATTTCCCCTGGGCCCGTATTATTACCATGCAGCTTCTATTATCCCACATTTCCTACATAATCCATAAACTAAAGAAGGCTCACGTTCTCCAACATTCTCTAGTTACATTGCAAATGCCCACAATTATTGGGGGGGAAAAAATGGCAGAATTTGGTTTTATTCAGCATCTCCCATGATATTTTGGCATTTGACAACTGTTTTGGATATAAAGATGCACTGAAATCCTAGCAAAATACAAAGCAAAGAAAGTAAGAACCCATGGTTCGGAACAGCTAGACAGTTCTTGACACATAATATACTCTTTTTCAGCTCCTTATGTTTCCCATACAGTGCTCTCAGATCCACCCTAAAACATCTAAAACAAACACACACAAGTGAACGGGAAAAATTACCTGTCTAAATAGGTTGGGGAAGTCATCTGCATTGTTAACTTTCCTAATTCCTTTTCCTCCTCCTCCTTCAGAGGCCTTGATCATGACAGGGTAACCAACCTCCTCAGCAGCCTGACGAAGGGGGGCAGAAAAACATGGGTACGTACAAAAAGTTAGCAGAAACAAGTTGAAGAGATCATCATTTCCCTGTTGATCCATGTCCTCCACCTCTTCTGACTTTTTCTACTTCGCAGCCTAGACATGTATGGGATAGAGACCAAATACTCCATTTTGAGAGGGTTCCCCTAGTTGGAAAAATCAGGGAACGTTTGCTGCTGCCACAGTGATTTTTTGACCATGGAGAACTCTAACCTCTTGAAGTAATCACCAAATCTTTCATCAGCACCTCACATGCATCAAGTTTATAAACTCATATAAATGCTTTGGGATAACACAGAAGAAGATTAAGCTGGAAAACATGGCTAAATCATACATCCCTTCCCCTCTTCACAAAGCAAAATTCCCAAACCCTGTATTGCGCCAGGAATATTTCTTATTCTATTCCTCAAAGAAAACATTCCTCAAAGAAAAAAAAAAATCAAGAAAAGATGAAAGCAAGTGTGAGGTCATGGAACTTTATTTAAAATATCTTCTTCCTGCATTAAGCAAGATACAGAAAAGAGTCCTTAATGGAATACAATTCTGTTCCCATATTTTGTTTCTTTCCCCTAACTCTCACCTACATCTGCATGCAAGCTGGGCCCAAAGAGGATATGTGAAAAATAACTTTCAAATTTCCAAGATTCAGCTCTGTGAGGCAGACAGTCCAGCCCTAGAACACACTCCCTTTAGAAGTATATCGAGTGCCTAGCTCTCTTGAGGTGTGCAGGCAGCGGGACTTTAAATAGCTCCCAAGTACTAGCCACCTACCCGTAGTCCATCATCCACGTCTTTCACATAACCTTTTTCATATAGTTCCTGAGGAACGTTCAAGATACGCTTCTGAAGATCATTTTCTTGCCAGTCCACTCGAAGACCTGAAATGCAAGTAGTATCTTCTAGCTCACTCTGCTGCAAGGCACAGCGAGAACTCGCATGTCAGACACTGGTGAAAAAGAGCAGTCTTAATTCTATGAGGAACTAGTCTGGAAGCACTTACAAAAGAGGATGCAGGATGTAAACAGATATTCTGTTTTCTGGGGGATAGATATTTTCCTCTGGAAACCGACAACAGCTATACCCTCCTTCATTTACCCTGTGCAACTCTGAGAAACAAGTTGTTATTTACCGTCTTTTGAAACTGAATTGAGCTTCTGTAGAAGCAGATTACTGGCTGTATGCTCCAAAACTAGATGCCATATCCCAGAAAAGTAGGGACTACAGAAATACCAGGTACTACTGCTGTACAGTTAGACTAAAAGCATAATAAGGACATGTAAATTTTGCCTGACATATCCATAAACATTTTAGTCTCTATGTCTAAACCTTGAACAATGGAAGTTTGAATCCCTAAAGAGAAGGGACACATCCAACAGGAGACCTTTTTTGTGCACAGATGCTTCTTAAACACTAGGTGTGTCAAAGAAAAAAAGGATGTAACGATCTTTATACAAAGGAGAATTTCCTTCTTACCACTGCCACTCCATGGAAGAGTTGGGATGCCTGCAGTCTGAGCCACTATTGATGAAGCAATTTTATCTCCTAAAGCCCACATTGCCTGGCTTGGAGGACCTGCAAAGAGCAAGAAAAACTCACGAACGAGATGCAAGGTATCAAACTCCAGGGAAATGCCAACAGGTCTGACTTGGGTTCCATGCAAGAGGAATAAACAAACGCTCTTCGAAGGGCTGCTACATGCCACGCTCCAACTAGTATAAATCAACATTTCTGAACTGAAACCAAGAACATTAACTGCATCAGCCAGGAAACTAAAAACAGACAGACTAGAGTACTTTTTGAGCAAGAGAGAAGAAAAGGCAAATGAACACTACAGCAATGCAACTGCAGGCACATCACAGTAGCTTGTATGACTGTTAACTGACCATCCCGTTAAAGAACGGGCTTGGCACACTCAAATCCCAAGCACCATTATCTGTCCATATGTTCCTCCTTGAGCTGGGTCTGCTCTCAAAGAGATGACAGGAACTAGTAGCAGGTACTAGGTGCATGCACCTCATTCTACTGAAATGATAATTCTGTACCCTTTTACTAGAAATTTGGCTTGCATGAGACTGTAGCACGTGATTGGTAAAGAGATTTACACTGGAATTAAAATGTAGCTTTTAAATTCACCCCTCTTCAAAAATCCGGAATATTTTTGCAGCTACAGGTCAAGTCATTATAGAAAAATACACCTACTGGAAGTCAGAACATGACATGATCGTCCTCCAAAAGATGAAGACTATGTCAGGCTTTTATCCCAGGACCATCTTTAGTTTTAAACACAGCATAGGTCCAAAACCTTAACCCCGTCTTCAAATCCATGTGCATGAGAAGATGAGACTTATTATATCGAACTACTCCAGCCTTTGGTTAACTGTATTGTTAACTAAACCACAAGCTTCATGTACTGTCCATTTTAAATTCCACTCTTTCAATAACCCTCTTTAAATTAACCATAAGGACATTCAGCTTTTAAAACAATCTGCTTTAACACAATTCTCTCCTAATTTTGTATCTCACAGTATTCAAAGATATGTTGGAGAATGTGTCGCTCCTCCCACAGAGGGACTATTTCCCAGCATATGTTCAAACCTTACCCATGCCTACTCTCCATGAAGAGAAATACTATCACTTAGAAGAAATTGTGGAAAACGCTACTATAAAAAGCGAGCATGTCTAAACACTGGCAACATCTAGGTTAGACTTTGTTCGTGTTTCTTTCCTAACAGAAGCTAGTGAAAGCTCTACAGCATTTACTTACAATCTCTAGAATCATGGGATTAGGTTGTCCACACTTGTTTTCCAGGCCCAGGCCCTTATTGAGCAAAATCCTATATAATACCTTGGGTCTATTCTAACCTAGCTTTGTTAGCCTCAATTCATGGAAACTGACTACCTTGTCAGGCTGCATGTTCTATCATTCTCTGAGTACTGCAAAGAACATACCATCAATCTTGCGCTCCTGAACTATGTATCATGGCTCCATTTTAGATTCTCCACTTTCTATCCAAAACCACTTATCTTAAAATAAGGACTCAGCTGCGTTAGGCATAAGGTCAGAAGTAAGCATTCTCACCCATGAAAGCAATCCCATTTTTATGGAGTAGTTCTGGTAGTTTAGGGTTCTCAGAGGCATGGCCCCAGCCAGCCCATACAGCCTGGAGAAGAACATAACATAATTCACTCTTTGTTTTAGTAAAACAAGCAAGAAGAAATATAAAGCATATAGATAACGTCAAGTCTTTCTTTTCCCTACTGAACAGAAAGCAACCTCATAGCATTCATAAGCCAGACCAGCCAGACCATGGTATTACATGGTATGCTTAGTTCAGTGGGCCAGATAACGTACTGCATCTTGTAGACAAGTACTCACAAGAAGACTACTAAAGTTAAGCTCCTGAAGAGGAGCTAAGGGCAGGAAAGTGATGGATACCCTTCTACCTCCTGCAAATATTCATGCTGGGAAATCTGCTGTATCTTAATATTTATTGCCTTTTGGTGCTAGTATAGGTTTGTGAGTTCCATTTCTTTGACCTATCTTTTTCCCAAAATGCTGCTCCTTATTTAAGGAGATAAGGCTCTCTGGTGTTACCTCCTTATTTGAAAATTATCTTTGGCACTTTTCACCTGCACTGGAATCCGTTTAGCAATATCAAGAATGAGTTCCACATTTGCATAGTTATTGTTGTTTGGTCCTCCTGGAACTGGGACATAGTGATCTGCCATTTTAATGTACTCTGCAAACAAAAAGGAGATCGCATTTAGATTGCAAATCTACTGAATGGTACTTGTCCTAAAATTCTCTAAATCTATACTATGAGCAAATCCTAAAGCCTGTATCCAAGTTTTCCTTCTCATTGCACTGAAAAATTCATGACAATGGTCCGACAACATTTGCTACATAAAAAAATATCTAAAGCATACAGTTAGCCTTTTGTCCTGAAAGCACTTTATAGAAATATCTATTCTCAAATTATTCAAATATTCCTGGAAAGCAGTTCAATTTTATCTCTCATTTTAAGATTGCTTTTCTCTCATCATCCTCTTTTAGCCAAGGTTATACTGACACTCAGAATGATATCCAAGAAACATACTTCCCAGCTCTGCACGCAAATTGGGGATCACAAGCCTCACATTTCCTGCCTGATAACCAGGCTACTATAGCTCCAGAAGAACATGTGGCCAGAAAATTACTATTCACAGCTAAGTGAAAAACTTAAACAGTTATGATGCATGAACAAGAGCTTAACACTCAGTATCTAAGGCAAATTCAGGTCATCTCAAAAGCCTACTGAAAGGAAGTACTTGCTAAAGTATATAAATGCTTACAGATTTTAAGCAAGTGTGTGGAATCAAGCCTAGAAGCCTCGTGCTTTGTATGCTTTTCAATTTCAAATGTAAGTGTTTAATCTCAGTGGTACATGGCACCACTGAATGGTACATGGCATAGTGGACATACAGACAACTTCTCGCACCCCTGCGGACACGCAGATCTCTGCGAAGAGAGGGTCGTGTACCTTTGCTAGTCTTTATAACTCACCTGCATTTGCTTTCAGATCCTCAGGAGTCACCATGACAACAAATCTGATCGCCCGCTCATTTCGAAACATCTCATAGGACCAGCGTCGGATGGATCTCATGCATTTCACCGCTGCAATCCCATTATTTGCTATCAAGACCTGAGGATATTAGAAGCACAGAGGAGACAGAGCCTAAATGGCGCACAACACTAAACAACAATGAAAATATTTTGTTTTCTCTGCAGACTCTTTCGACTCCTTTGGCTGCGGTTTCCTATGCCCACTTTCAGTTCAACAAGAGCACTCCATGCCCCATCAATCAATCCAGAAACCAGCTCTTGCTTGACCATAAAGACTTTAATGTAACATGCTTTGTTTTGATTAAAGAGCAGAAGGGAACATTAGAAAGGTATGGCCACTCATTATGCGTCTTCTATACCTGAAATGAATACCTGCCAACCCATAGAAAGGGAGAGAACCTCATCCATTAAATGATTATATAGTCTTTTAATATATTTTTTAGTTTTGTCCAGTCTACTTTTCTTATATTTACAAATCCTTCTGTATCAGCAGAAGTGCTCGCTCAGATTTTTTTTCTGGCCACATCACGCTAAAATAATGGGATGTTTATCTGTCACATTTACAATAAAATGAAAAGAGAATGATTAGAGGCAGAACAACAACATTCAAGTTCAGGAATATTCCTATTTTTGGTATCTGCAATGTAGAGCCTTATACTGCAGGTAAGCCATAGCTCAAGGGAAGGGAACAAGAATGCAACACGCGACAGTCAGGAAGGTCAGTAACTTACCTTCTCAATAACTTTATTCCCTCCAAAACGAGTAACAAACTCTGCTGGAGAAGCCACAGTGAAATCCCGCTGTAGGTCAACTTTCTTCCTGTCCCGGCCTTGTTTTACAAGGTGTAAACCGGACATACTGGGCCTAAGGAAACGTGGGGGAGACAGAAAAGACAAACTTAATTGACTCCAGAGTGGATGAACGTGAACAGAGCAGCATATATGAATAATTTGAAAAAGTTCCCCTTGACCACATTGCCCAAGACGACAAGCAGGATTACTCCCTGACTCCAGTCCACCATGGCCTTCTCCCGAGCTTTTACAGGGATTGACTTTGTTTTGTTTAACTATCTTTCAGTTATCTCATTGTGAGCAAAAGTCAATTATCTGGAAAAATTCTGGTAATGCTGAAATATAAAGAGGTAAAAAATGCATTCACTTTATTTTACTGTCCCACATCGAACAACTGAGCTAACAACGTCCCATCACATTGCTCTCAACTCCTCTAGAAAAGCTGCGAAACGACAACAATGTTTTCTGGCTTGGGTAAGACAATCTGCTAAGATCAAACAAGGAAATGCTATGCGAGAATCACAGCAATAAGTCTCCAGTTGTAAACAAGAGACCCTACTACCTCTGTTTACTCAAAAGCATTTTCCATGGATTTTCCGTTATCCAATCTTTAATATGAACATCACTTCTTCACAAGTTCTGAGAGTTAGAGGATAGATTCATCATGCTACTTCTACTACAAACAGCAAAAGCCAGTCTTCTGTCCGACAAAGCCAACTGTGTGCTCTGCCACTGCCCGATTGCATGGAAACGGGACAGTCACTTCCCTTTCCTGGGCTTCCTCACAAGTAAAACATGGACAAATCAACCCTTGCTTCTGCAAGTAATACAGGATTTGATTTGCTAACGTTTACAAAGCTGAAACGCGCAAGAAAATACAAAAGCAAAGACCTACTCTTTATACTGCGTGTCTACTGTAGTGCAGCGTGACAGGGACAATAAAAATAATTGTTTTTTATTTTAAAGCCACTGAAACTTTACCTTTTAGGTCACCTCATTGTTCACCAGCTTTTTTTTATTTGCAACTAGCACGCTTTTCTTAACAGGCTCTTTTTCCACAAACACACTGATGGAAAACGCTCCAAACCTTTCTGTAGGACTATGGACATTACTAAATGAACACTAGGAAGGTATTTTAAGAATTACTTAATGCTTTGTAGAGGTATATACCCCAGGAGGGTCAGTGCCATATGAGCAGCTGAGTAACTAGCTTTGTCTGTGCCCGCTAGCCACTCGTGCCCTGCCCACTGTCCTGTATCCATGGGAAACACATCCACAACCTCTGGCCTGGTCAGCTGCTGAAGGGCTGATACCATTGAGCAACTTTCCTGGGAAAGGGGATGAGATGGGCAAAAAATGAGCAGAATTGCTGCGGCGGGGAGGGAAACAAACCCAAGGGCAAACCATATACAACATCTAGAGGTCTGCTTTTAAACACAGCCTGCAAGCTGAGATAGTCGAGAGCTGTCTCTGCTAGGTCTACTGCCCCATAAGGAGGTTTGGAGCAGCCTGGCTTGAATGAGCTGCTGGTAGAGATAACTGATAACAGCCTGAGTGGAAACGCACAGATTGTCCTTCAAGTTCCCCTCATAAATAGCCTGCAGATATAATAAGGATTTATCTAGCTGGAATGCAGACCCTCTTTAACTGTTCATCAGGAGTACAGTAATGCCACAGACCACTAGTTCGGTTAAAAAGTTTGCTGATGCAGAAGCCCTGAATGAATTGTAGCTAGTATCTGGTTTAAAAACAGGCTCTTCTCTTACTAGTCTTTCCTATTAACGATTATGGTACTAACAGGACTACGCTGCGCTTTGCAGGACACATTAACGAACAGGATCTTGATTCAGATCAACCAACACAACGAATTTGAAAAGATATATGCCGAATCCTGGTAATAAGCAACCAAGAACCGCACTAGAAAGGAAAGGTAATCTTTCAGGTAAGGCCAGATCAGTATCCAGATCAGACTGTAAAGACATGTTTATCTACCATACACAGAATGAAGCATAAAGTCCTTCTCCTTTGTCCATACCACCTACTTTGGCTGTAAGGTCCCACTGAAGTAGGACTCTGGCTTTTGTGAAGACTTCCAGAATAGTTAGAAAGCGTAGCTGCAGCATTTGAAATTCCGATCCATACTCTGCATTAACACATCAATCTTTATCTCACACACGTGAGATAGTCCCATGACAAGTGATCTTGCTGGTGGAGAGCTCTAAGTAACGATAGTCTTGCAAGGAAAGCAAATTTTGACTGAAAACCTGTTCTAAGCATAGGGAGAGAGACCTTGAAACCATCCACAAAGCTGAGTGGGAGAAATAAAGGTAAAACAGACAGGAGAAACAAGAGTAAGATGGTGATTTTCAAAAATGCAATAAATAAATAAGCCAGACAGATGCACATCTCCCAGTGACATTCTATGACATTTAAAAGGAAAAGAATGTCTGTACCAGGTCAGACCAAAGTTTATCCAGCCTAGTAACTTGTCCCAAAGAACGCTGCTAGGCAGTGTCCAGGGAAGGGCATAAGAACAAGTTACGTGTGGGTGGGTACTTTTCCCGCCTACTCTCCCTTCTTCCAGGGAGCTGCACTTCAGAGAGACAGTTTCGTACTTAACATGTGCCCCTATCAGCAAGGGTTTACTAACTGCTTTGTGAAAATATCAGCCCAGATATTTAAGCACGGGGCCAACAGACAAGAAAGAGAGGAAAGAGGTAGGTAAGGCTGAAGTTCTACTAAAATCATGTCTTTCAAAGAGGGTCAGAATCTATGGCGTGGCAACACATAAATGAGACAAGTCCTCAGTCGTGACGTTTACTGAGAGAAGCCTCAGCAAAAACAGAAGAAGATAAAAATCTTGGGGTCAGAATCTGTGGCTGTGTATGAAGATGAACCATCTTGCCAACTTCAAGTTACTACACAATACTGCTACGCATAAAATGACAAAACCAGAACATGCAAACAGAACAGAAGTGCATCATGCAGAATAAAGTACAAATACTTGTTTATAAGCAAGTGGAGTTCAGCTTAATTTGTGAAGGGAAGTATAACAAGAATATTAAGTCCATTTACTAATAACTACAGACTGCACATTATAATCAAAACAGGAGGAGAGATTTTGTTGTTTTTGCAAGATAAAATGAGGGAGAAGCAGGGCAGCAAGGAAGAAAGAACACTGAGCTCTAAACAAAGCAGGATAAATGCTGAGTTAGTAATAGCCATCCCTACTATTCACTAGGTCACAACTGCAGTGTTTTGTTAAGTAGCAACTTTCAAAACGCTAATCATTCTATCCTTATTTTTTAGAGGTTAAAAGTTGTGCAGAAACTCAAACTTTTTAACACTCATTTCCCAACTACAGTGTAGTCTAGCGTCTTTCTCAGAGACTGCATGCATAGATATCTTATACAGATATCTTCCCGAAATCTCTCGAGTTAAGGTAAAAATAACATGGAAAAATATCAGCATAGACTTCCAGTACAAAGGGCCCAATTACCTCAGTCCAAGACGGATGCTGCCATCAGGAGACAATCATATCAGGAATTCTTACCTTTGCAGCATGTGGTATCTCATTTCCTGACTCTCATCTGCAGAATCCTCCATACTGTCTCAGTAAAGGAATTACCAGATTTTATTTTTGCTTATGGCTCATCTGTTGTAGCCATTGCTATTTTTTCCCCCCCGATACTGTAGCTCAAAGCCCAGCAGGAGAAAGCTGCAAAGAGCCTCTTGCATTCATGCAGTTCTCCTTGAAGCAGTGGCACTTCCCTGATTGCTTCAATCTTTTAACCTTTGTCCCTTGCTTTCCACCACCCCGCTCCTCTCAGCCACTCTTTCTTCCTGTGACGCAGCGTGTGCACTCAGAGAGGGTAGCAGCCTCTCTGTTCTGCATTCAGAGGAAAGCAGCTGATCAGGAAAGAGAGAAACTGATCTACAGGTTATGTAATCAGGCTTAACACACAGCTCTGCTGCTGCAGCCCTCATGCCGCAAAGTGGCTTTGCGCAGCCCTGGCCAGCCCCAGTTCATGCTCCCCACAGAGGGTCGCACACGGAAGCAGAGCTTGCACTGCCTCCCTGCCTGCTGCGGAGCCCATCGGCACCCACAGCGACTCTGCTCCGCTGGACACGGAACCGCACAGGCAACCTGCAAGCGCCTCCTCAGCTGTTGGCTTTGTGAGAGCAAAGGAATGACTTCAGGGGCCAATTAGCCTAAAGAATTCAATCGACATATAGGATTTCACACCAGATTTTCACAGGGCCTGGGGAGGTGAGAAGAAAAGCATTCCAGAACTGGAGAGAGGAAAGTCAGATACACAGTCTGTGCAGCCACAGAGTATAGCAGTGACCCAGACGTGAGACAACAGACCACGCTGGGGCCCAGCCTGGAAGCTAGAACACCCTGCACAGGTCACTTCCTGCACCTCAGTTTCTTCACCTATAACATGGAGATGAGATCACTCTGAGTGTTATAAGGATAAATGCGCTCACAAACAAAGGTACTCTAGCACTGCAGGGTCCATACCACCACTGCAGCGAGGAAGGATGTTTACGCAGTATTGAGCACATGCGGAAAGATAAATTGCAAACTTTGGGGAGGGGAGGAAGGATGAGCAAGGGCAATGAGTGCAGCAATATAGTGATGAACAGAGACCTTGTTCAAATCTGGATTTAAGCTATACATGGTGATTGGATTACATTTCAAAATTTCACAACATTTAGGTCTGTCCTAGCATAGGGCCATATCCAGTTAGCACAGCCCTTACCTGCTGCACACACGCTTCAAGGCTCTGAGCAACACCTATAGCCATCCGAGGACCACTCAAAAAAGGAGCATGCGCCAAGAGGAAAAGGTCACATTAATACGATGACAGCAAGCAACCCAGGGCCCTGAAGAGCAAGGTGAGGTCACTGCAACAGACAGGGAACTAAGAATAGACAGATGTGATAAGCAAGGAACAACAAAGTGCCATGTGCCTGATAAAAGTGCAGGCAAACAGTTCTGTGTGGATCCAACTTCAAGCGTTTTCAGCAGAAGGGTAAAGGGGAATAGCGACACACTGTGGCAGTGAA